ATGGCTCACTACTCAAAGTAGACCGGATATTGGTTTTATGGTCAACCAGTTGCAGAAACGTGTTAATCATTTGAAGGTTGCTGATTTGATTGAAGCTAACAAAGTTGTTAGGATTGTTAAACAACATGAGGTTGCACTTACTTTTCGCAATTTGGGTACCGATTGTGTGATGGTTGTTTGGCATGATTCTGGTCTTTTTAATAGCGTTGGTGTTGAGTTAGACGAATTAGACCGGAACACATACATGAGTTGGGCGAAAAGAAGAAGTTGTATTCCCAAAAGGGTTGTGTTGTAGGCATCGTGAAAAGAACAGACCTTGAGAGGACTGATGCAGTGCGTTGCAACTTCCTGTCGTGGCGGTCGAAGACGAACCGCCGGATTGTGCAATCGAGTTTCGCAGCCGAACCCATGCGGCACTGATGGGTCATGGTCAGGGTCACTACTTGCGAGTTCTGATGTCTGAAGTCTTCTTCGGTGAGAACATTGTGAGGAGCAATGAAGAGGATTGGGGTTCTCTTATCTCTCTCGTGATGTGTACTGATTGTAAGTCTGTTTTTGATCACATTAAGAAAGACGGTCAGTCTATTGGTGACAAATCCAATGCCCTTCATGTTGCTGTTTTACGTCAAATCTGTACTGCAGAGAAGTCCCCAGTAGGTGACAAAGCAAGGCTGTTGTGGATTCCGACTCGCCACCAGTGTGCTGATGGGCTCACTAAGAGTGGTCTCCATAACGTGCTACAACAAGTGTTTCAAAAGGGATGTGTCACTTTCCATGCTAAGTCAGCAAAGGCACTGATGTCAAGAGAGAGTTTGGTCAGTGTTAGGAATTGATGGCTGTTTCATGTGACATGCAGTGCCTTGGAAAGGTGACTTGTCCGGCGGTGTTTCATTCTCAGACATTTCAGCGTAGGCCCTCGGGTGATAGGAAAAATGGCGTTTGGAGCTTAGCAGGTGCGTGGGCTTAGCTTCTTGGCGTGCTGCCAACAAGTTGTAGATGAGTAGGATAGAGGTAGGATATAAATGAGTGGTATATAGCTTGCATAACGTATGAGTAGTTTATAGGCACGCTATGGGTAGTAGAAAAGAAGTATGTATATATATATATAGGTAATATGTAAACAGCATGCAGATAGTATAATACATGTAGTGCTTAAGTATTTTGTAAGTAGTATATGGCTCTCTGAAGTGCTGCAAATAGGGTGCAAGTGGAAGGTTGTGGCTCTAAAGTGCTGCAATACCATGCAGATGGGAGGCCGTGACTCTGAAATGTTGCAAATATCAATTACACACTTCCGTGGTCTAATTGCGGTGGCTTAACTTCTTCTTATTTTTGATATTGTTGCTCAAAATTTCTCAAACACACATTTGTTCAACACATGCTTGCTCAAAAATTCTCAAAAAACCTATGTGTTCCACGTTTTTTGTTCAATTTTTCTCAATAACGCACTTTCCTGTTCAGACTTTACCATTGTGTTTGCAATGTTTTTGTTTATTCAATATAAAATTATGTGTTTCCAAGCTGCTAAGCTCGACATGTGTTGCCATGGATGCTCCCTACGTTGAAGGCACAGGGCGAAAACAATAGCAAACCATCCCCCAAATCACCATTTTTATAGGTGGTATGTTTACCATTCCCAAATGGGTGATTTATGGCATTGTTTAAACATGTTTTAACCACATTACATTGATTACCAAAAAATGTTCATTGTTTCTCAAAAGGTTTTTGAGTTTGTTGCTCTAAAACATCCAGCAATCCATGTTGAAAGACTTCTTTGGTTCATTTACTTTAACAACGCATGCTAACGTCAAGAAATGCAAGGTTTGTTATTCAATTACAAGTTAAGCCCCCACAATTTTGACTCAGAAGCGTATTGAGGAAAATACCATGCAAATGGGATATGTTTCCTGGGGAAGGGGGGGAATGTTGGTTAATGACTCAAGGATGGCCCAAAGTGTTCGAACAAAAAGGTAAAGAGACACTTCAATATGATATCATGTGCAGGAAAAAGGTGGGCAGGAATACGCAGACCGAATCAGTAGACGCTTATAACTTGAGCCAACAAACGCGCAGAACTTGCAGCATGGCATATGGCCGCGCAGCAACAACCCCCTGACCTAACATTTGATATTACAATAATACCATTACGATACTAGCACAATATCTTATAATATATTATATTATTGATTAATATATTATATCATATTGTATTATATTTATATAAAATATATGTACATATTATATATATATATATTGCAATGATGACGTGTTCAGAAGATTGTCATTACTTCCTAAGTGCACCGCCTCAGGAATGTCACCGACTTCTGGGACGTGTCCCTTGGATCCCCAAGGGATCCCCAAGGGATCCCCAGTCGGGACGGAGCAAGGGACCTGTCCCCCATGGAGAAAGCCAGGCGGCTCGGGGTATACCAATGGATACCCATCATCTGGGGTATAGCTATGATTATAATTGGATTATAATTGGATTATAACTGTATTATGTACCCATCATCAATGATTACAAGTGGATTATATCTGATTATAACACATATTGACATTATAACACATATGAATAAACTGAGGATGAATAAACACCATGGTCACCATGTTAAAATGAGGGGAATAAACATGAATAAACTTTTGTGGTATACCCTCCTTAAATAGTCACAATTAATTAGATACATCTGAGTAAATTTCATCACGACCGAACCCTGTTCTCCCAAGCCCTGGAACCAAATGGCCGAACTATTCAGGTGAACGTGAAATATGATGGCCTTTACCCAGCATCATGTAGTGAGCCATTAAAAAATACCGTGGTTAATTGATTGCTACAGGGGATTATACTACCTGGTTTTTGGGGGGATTATGATAACCCATAGTAGGGAAACCTATCAACCAACTAGTATAATGAGATGGGATAGAGGTATTTTGAATGGTTCTAGTGTTTTTTGAGAAACACCGTGAAACCACGAAAATTCTTGCCAAGTGTGGCATGATTGCCATTTTTGTGGCCATATGGCAGACCTAGGAAACAAGAGGGCAAGGGCTGGACATTGCAATTTTGCTGAGTCAATGAGGTGTGTTTTACCATTTGGGAACACCATGCTAGTTTATATTATATAATACTATATAATATTATTTAATATTATATACATATATTGAAACACGGTAGTATAAACATGTACATACAATATTCATATATATATATTGTTTGGTATACACATACTAGTCATATTACATTTTTTTGAGATTAGATATACTATATAATCATGTATAACTGTATAACTGTATAATCCACTTACTGTCAATCTATGCTTTACGTGGCAAATATGTGTGACATTTGGAGATTTGCCCTTTTTTCTGCGCAACTCTAAGGAAGTGTGCGACAGGGGCTCGTGAAATGGAATCAGTGGCATTTTCGAGGAGGCCATGGGGTTGGGGAAAGACAGTCCTGGATACAATTGTTGTAGTTGAGAAAAAACATCAAGACAGGAGGTCAGGCTGGTATGGAAGCACCTCAACATCATTTTCGAACATATTCGAACATATTCGAAGTGTCTAAACCCAAAACTTATCAATGGTGCTCTGATAAACATGATGGCAGCCAATGTAATCGTAAATTAATCGCATTTTTCAAGATTGTTTGATCGTGGATTGAAAGTGAACATGAGCGATGCTCAAAGATACGATTTATGCGCAATGCAACACAAAGAAACCGTGTTTGATACATCAAGATGCAGTTGTTTGAGGTAAAGCAAACAAACGTGAACCATAAAGATAACAAAACAAGACAATTTGGTGAAGACGTACAACCCGACATGTCTAGCCTTTTACTATCATGCATAGCAGGGAAGAAAGGGTTCAATATGGTCACTGTTGTGGAGCAAATCTATGATGGCGGTTTGCTCAATAGATACAAGTTGTCGTAGAGATAGGTTTGATGATAGATAATATAATTTGAAGAGTCAAATTTGATAGAAGTTTTGACACGAAACATAGAGATAGGCAGGTATGCATGCTTGAACAATAGATGGGTTCTGTTTGAAAAACAAATAGAAGCGGATGTTAATTCGGTTTGGTCGTTCAGCATGCGAATTTGTGCAAGCGTCTTTGCATCGGCTCCGGGTCGGTTAACACGACCACAACCAGCACCGGTTCAGCACTTCCGAAAAATAAAGTACCAGACTGTACCACGTCAATTTACAAGCATCAGAATTGTCGTTTGTTGTTGATTCCTTTTGTTGTCGGTGTTAAAACGACTTCGTTTTGATTATGTTGGTTTGCCCGATAGAAATGATAAACATGGCAATGTGGTTTGCTCTAAAATGCATGGAGACAGGACACACCTTCTTCGCGAAGCAGGATCTTTCTGTAATTAATATATTGTAGATTGCGTATATAGCGTATGATTATATTATAATATATTATAAACTCCAAACACACAACAAACCGTTGAGACCCATCGAACAAACCACCATCAAATTCGAATTGCTTCTCAGGGACTCACTACGTCTTCACCGACCATGGTTCCACCGAGCTGCGGACAGATTGTCGTACCCGCTGAGTTTGCAGAACGCCATTTAGGTCATCGTACCTGGTCTCACTAACCTTGGGAAAATCCCTTGTAATCAAGTGGTAGAAATACATGTGTATATATATATAATATACAAATATATACAATATAAATCGGTTATGGCAGCTATTGCATGTTCTAAGTATAATCCTCCAAGAAGCGTTCTTGGCCAATTGCCAGGTCTGGCGCCAATTGGCAGCGTCTTCTTGGGTGGTGGTGCAAGCAGCAAGGAGGTCCTGAAGACAAGCGGTTGTTTTTTTACCAGACCTAAAAAGAAAACTTGGAATACATGTATACATTATTTTTTTGGGGGGGAAGAGGACACTGCAAATCCCCCTTTTGGGCAATTGATTTTAGTTTCTTTCTGGACTAAACATTACCAGAACCTGCTGTTGGCACCTGTCACCCCACACAGGCGCTCCTGAGAATGCTGGTCAATGGTGAACCTGCCCTGTGCTGAGTGCAGGTACTTTTGGCCCTGTGACAAGTGGAGCATCCAGTTACTCACTCACTTTGTGCATGAAATGTTCTAGTTACTATTTATATCTATAGTTTATTTGCTTCCGAGTGCTAAGCATTACTTCCATGGCTTCTTGCTTTGAGGTAGTTTGCCTGGACAATACAGGTCGTTTGACCCAAGACTTTGTCGCAAGCTGAGTGACAGGACGGAAAACAAAGAGATTCTGCAGAGATGACTGAACGGGCTGACCAAACATCACCCTGTCCTACGTTCATCCGAGGTGAGATGACGCTTGTCTGACACTACATTTTCTTCGCGCTATCTAGTCGAAAGAATCAAATTTGACATATATGGGCACTCTTCAAACATGTTGAAACATTTTCACTGGGCAAATTATAACGACCTCACTGCCACCTCATTGGAATCATGGTTAATATATAATTAGAAGGAATCATCCCAAAATGGGACAGAATTTTCAGCTGAGTGAATTATTATAATTTGCCAAGAAATTGTCAAACATCTTCAAACTTATCAAAGTCTTGGATGCTTGATGCTTTGCGATTTGCAACTTGGATCATGCCGAGGGAACTTCTCAGTGAATCTTCACCAGTGTTTTGTGGTCGATCAAAGATTAAGGGGTGTTCTCAAAGCAGGGGAGAAAAAACCCATGAAGTTTCCTGAGGCTACCCGATTTTGATTCAATTTGTCATAGGCAAACCCATGAAGGTTCCTGTACTTTTTTCTGATTGAAAAACCATGAACAACCTTTAAGCATCCAGCCGTTGCTGCAATGAGGTCACAACTTTTTGTGCAACAGTCTGTTCCACGAGAAGGGCACTGAGACACTCGGCGCGCCCTTTTTCGCCCAGTCGCACGTGGCCAGCTTCGATCTGGGAAATGATCCCCATGGTTGAACTTTTCAGGTGAGTAACTAATGATCTAATGGTTACTCAATACTCATGAATTATGAATCATGGGTTACTCAGTAATGGTTGGTTACTAATGAATGATCAAAATTCGGCTCTTGGCAGCACAACTGAGGACCGTTTCCAGGAAGTCTCGGGATCCTTGGCGCGAAAGTTGGCCACAACACGTTTCGCACAGTTGGTGGTTGGCCACAGCAGTTTTAGTGCCAAGGAAGATAGCGCAAAGCAGAGGCAAGTTGCTGCAAGTTTGTGAAGTCCTGGAGCGATCTCGATATGACAATAATAGAAAATATATCAAGTTATCAAGCTTCTTGCTCCTGGAGCAACTGATTCCAGGTTCAAAAAAGAAAGATCGAAAGGAACGCCCCTTGGACATGCATTTTGTATCCATTTATTCTGTGTTTGCGATGTGGGTTTGTCTGATTTTTTGGGGGGGAACATTGATGGTTTATCATATTGCATCATATTTTATCACCATCTTTCCCATGTATTTTCCCATGAAAATAAGAGACACAAAAGGAGGCATTGCCCATTTTTAGACAAACCCCCAGACGGGGCCAAATATCGCTGTTCTTCACCGGGACTGAGGAAGGAATTGCTGGAGGCCCAATTAGAGGATCCTCGGGTGGACCTGGTGGAAAAGGCGGGGTGAAACTTGAGGATGTGGTGCAGCCAGTGGTGCCAGTGGTGGGTGAAAAACAGATTTTAAAACATGTGAATCATGTTTTAAAATATGGGTAGTAACTGAATATCACATGTGAAAAACATTGGTAATATTAAGTAATAACTGAAAATCATGAATCATGCCATGATTTCAAGCCACATGAAATCTTTTCTGTTAAAACAGCCATGATGAACAGCCACAGCGATCTTTTGCGTTTTCTGGGCGAACAGCCACGGTGTTCACAGGCCAAAACGGATTTCTTGAAGCGCGACATTGCTCGAAGCAGTGTGTTTTTGGGCTGTCAAACGTGGGAAATCCCTCATTTTGAATGGGAAAATCAGCAAAATCAGCTACCATCAAGGACCAATGTGACGATGTTCCATTGCCATGTTTGCCATGTTTGATAAACGGTAGCAGATGATTTTGCGCACTTTGCGGGGGACCCCCCAGCAATTTTTGTGACGTGATGATTGAGAGCTGCCCAACTTTCAGACAAACCATTCCAGACTGGCATTTCAGAGAACCGACATTGATGGCAATGAAAGCTTGGAGTAGGGCAACCCCATGCTGCATTCTCCAGCGAGTTTCTCCTCCTGAAACATGATATTTTTGTGCGATTCAACAGACTCGTCACTCGTCACAAGACGGTCTTGCCTAGAGGCGCAGTGATTCTCAAACTTGCTTTGACATGGACACTGAGGTTCCATCGAATGACCAATGATGGAGTAGATGGCTGCTGGGATTCATTTAGGACCCTGAATCGATCGGGCAGGTTTCGGAGAAGTCGGTGGATTCAAAGTACAATCCGTACAATCCTATATCCCTAGCCTATATCCCTATATCCCGGTACTAAGCCAGAGATTGGTGCGCATCTTGGACGCATGGACCGTTGATATGAACGCTGACCATTATAAACAGAAGACACTCAAAAGTCAAAAGTGATGCTAGCGCAAGAAACTTAATATGCTGAAATGGAGTACGAACTGGCACTGGGAATATATTGGAATGAAATGGACGGTATGATGATAGTCGGTAATCGGTTGGATCTGCTCTGATGTGCTATGAACTATGAGAGATTAAGATTCAGGTTGCTATAATTATACGATACGATGTGGTCTGATTTGATATGATGCGATATGAATAGATTTGAATAGATTTGATACTCATGTGGTACTCTAGTATTATATCACGGGTATCATGTGTAACATGTATAAGTAGTATGTATTAGTCGCAAAGAGTGATACCATTATCGTCCGTTATCATCCGTTCTCATCCATTATCATCCATTATCAATAGATATCATCTTAAAGTGATAGGCTTAGTTCGAACATCAACGTATCCCTGCACAGCGCGCATTCTGCTCGAAAAAACACGAGGCACCAACGATCGAGACGAGCGCAGTTTCATGGTGGACCGGCTGAAGCATCACTTGGGACAGGTCACGTCGTTTACGCAGCCAGAGCTTTGTCAGCTCTTGCTGGTGTGCCATGGCCGATCTGGGTGGCACAAATCCATGAAAATCCGAATGAAAATCCTCGCTAAATGCAGGTTTCTAGCTCAGAAAATCATAGAACTAAATGATGGTGGATTTCCAATTGCTATGTTTGATGACACGGGAGGGTACCCTCCAATAAACACTTTGACCCTTAAAATGATCAAGATTTACTGGGCAATAATTGTTCACCCCCCGATACATGATGATAAATGGCAGGGTTGTCATGTAACGCGGGGGAGGGTAAGGACTTCAACATGTTTTTCCCAGTGGCGTGATGATCCCATCGACAAAGATTTTTTGAAACCACCAAGCGTGAACATCCTGGGCTCCAAAAATGGGAAGCACCAAAAATGGGAAAGATTGGGAACACATTTATAGCATTTTACAGCCTCTTTTTCGCCGCGAAAAAAGTGATTCAGGTATCTGAGAAGAGGCTTGCAGATCACAAAGCTCTGCCGCTTGTCGGTGTGATAAGCCGGAGTCGGACTAGCAGTTTCGTGATTATGCGAACCATGAATTTTGATTATAGCACATTGTAGCAACTCCCCAAGAGATTTTAAAAGAAAAAACAATACCCTGCTATACCCTGCTAAAGTACAGAAGGGCAAATTGAGTTTCTTCTTGTTTGGGTGTATCTATCTGCGGATCATGATTTGGCTAAATGTAATTTTCCATTCTAATGCCTGGACGTCCTGGTTTCTGACAAGCACATTCTTTGTATATATATTATGTATGTTTAATTAATTTTCTGGTTTTGCCAGAAGCCTGACAAGGCCTTAGTGAGCCTTAGTGTGCACAAAAAAAACACAATTCGGGAGACTTTGGCAAATTCAGATCAAACCTTGTCAGTCCTTGCTTTTTGCCTTTTCTCTGTGGTTGTTCCGTGGTAATTGATTGGCCTGCAATGACTTCAGAGTATGTTTCGGAGGGGCTCTCTTCGCTGCGGCAGTCTGACATTTTGATTCTCAGATGTTGTGAGTATCAAAGTGGGAAATTCCGAAGCATATGTGTCCCTGTGTCACCAGACTTTCCGTGAATGGGGGATGGATATTATAGAATGGAATATCACTTTTGATTCGAAGTGGGATGAACAGTTTCCAACATTTCCAAATAGCCATGGCCAACTAACGTGACCGCTTCCAAAGTCCTCACAGGTGTTGTTATGGATCCTCTGGATCCGCGAGAGTGTGCTGGTGGCCACACTGAAGACAAGTTGTTGCTTGCTGCAAGCACTGTCGGCTGAGTTTTTTGAAGATGTCACAAGCCCTCGGACTTGAAGACTTACAACAGATTTACCTCTTTAGGATACGTATGTATAATAATAATAATAATAATGATAATATATACATATGTATACATATATATATTATGTATATATATACATATATATGTATATACATATATATGTATATACATATATAAACACACAGTAGTTACAGTAATAATTATAAAGGTGCAAAGCTGTGAAAAGCACATCAGAGATGTACAGAAGCATGCCTGGTAGATTCCTTGTCATTTCAGAAGACCTCTGTGCGGTCCACTTAATCACCATTATGCAAGAACACCTTCAACAGTACTGAACTAGTGAGTGAAGGCAAGGATGTGTGTGTGTGTGAGAGTGTCATGAGGTCCATTTGCTTGAGCAACTTCGTCATTTTGGCAAGAGCAGCACTCAGATCTCTGGTCGTCCCATGTGGCTGTGCCACGCAAGCTCAGTGTTTTTGGTGCTTTTAACAGCCAAGTTTATTTCAATCCATGGCCAGCGAGGCAATGACACCAGTGACTTTGCCGATGTGGAGGCAGTAAAAGCTGCAACCAACCTGAAGCTCCAACTGGAAGCAACGGCAAGAAAGGCAACTTGGTACAACCTTGGTGCCACAGAATCAGGCGGAACAGCCAAGATCAGAAGCTGAATTCAGCCTATTGTGAGCTGGTTTCGGACTATGGAAAATCTCAGACCACGAATCTGAAAAAATTACAACAACCTCACGGCGATGTCACTGGAATGGTGAAAAGGGACAACTACCCCGAAATGGCTTTAAGTAAGGCTAGTGAATTATGTGAATTCTTATAATAATTCATCCAAATCCAGATGCATCATGAAAATGTCAAGGAGCCGAACAAATCGGCCTTGTGCTGAGAGGTAAGGCTTTCACCCGCCATCCAAGGAGAGCATATGGGCACTTAGTATGACGTACATGTTCCTTGGTGGAGAACGTTTGTATTTCGACATTTTTCGACCGTTTTGTCATCTTGTGAATTGCATCGAAAGATCAATTTTTCTGGAGCTGCAGTGAGTGATGTTCTTCTAAAGTCTCCTGCATCACCATGCATCGCCATGCATCGCCATGCATCGCCATGCATCACCTATATCCTCATGGTCCAGATGGTTACATAATTTGATGCTTGTGGGCTGCATGCGAATGTGAAACATTTGAATGTGAGTAGGCCAGGATTTTGCTCACATCCAACTGCTTGTTTCATTCAGGCTTGGTTGGTTTTTGGATTCACCGTGTTTACACGATTTGCCTGAAGGAGAAAAAACTGTACCCTTGTAGAGCTCCACCCAATGGGTTCAGATGCAGGGATTGAAGGTTGTACGAAGGAAGGGTTCGGTTATGTTCGGTTCTGCTTTTTTGTTGGTTTATTTTTTGGAGAAAAGGGGTTTGTAAGAAAGGCGTCTGTGGAGTGACAGGTTTTCTGCATTGAAGGGTTCAGTGGAGCGAAATGTCTTGCGTTATCTTTTTTTGCCTAAAGGTTTCTTGCGGTAGACTCAGCAAACGATTCTTGTGTTCGTGTGAGGTTCCTGTGTTGAGGTTTGGGAAGGTGACCTTATCTTGGACCTTTTCAGGCTCTGGAGTAAGAACTACAACGAAAGCTGTGGGGCGAAAGGTTTCTGTGGAGTTCGGGGTCTATGGTGTGGGCCGTTGAATTTTCTTTCCAGGGTGCAAGGGTTCCTGGACTTACTCCGTGCTAACAAAATGTCATTTTTCCCCACCTGCCAGGTGAGGGTTGTTAGATTTTATCAGAGTTGTTCTCCTCCTCCTCTTCCTCCTCCTCCTCCTCGGCTAGCTCGCCCTCCTGCTTCTCCTCCTCCGCCTCCTCCAGTTTCTCCTCGACCATGTCTGCATCAACTTCCACCTCCACTTCCGCCTTGCCAACTCTTCGCCAAGCTCTTCGCCAACTTCCCAGCTCAGTGGGCACCGCTGGACCTCAACCTGGGACCTTCCCAGCTCAGTGGGCACCGCTGGACCTCAACCTGGGACATGCCCAGCTCAGTGGGCACCGCTGGACCTCAACCTGGGACATGCCCAGCTCAGTGTGCACCGCTGGACCTCAACCTGGGACCTTCCCAGCTCAGTGTGCACTGCTGGACCTCAACCGGGGACCTGCGCAGCTCAGTGTGCACCGCTGGACCTCAACCTGGGACCTTCCCAGCTCAGCGTGCACCGCTGCACCTCAACGGCCAGATAGAATGCCAGAAGATATGCCAGATAGAATGTCAGATAGAATGCCAGAAGGTATGCCCGATAAAATGCCAGAAGATTTGCCAGATAGAATGCCAGAAGATTTGCCAGATAGAATGCCAGAAGATATGCCAGATAGAATGCCAGAAGGTATGCCAGGTAGAATGCCAGAAGATATGCCAGATAGAATGTCAGATGGAATGCCAGAAGATATGCCAGATAGAATGCCAAAAGATTTTCCAGATAATATGCCAGAAGATATGCCAGATGGAATGCCAGATGGAATGCCAGAAGATGTGCCAGAACATATGCCAGAAGATATGCCAGATAGAATGCCAGAAGATATGCCAGATAGAATGCCAGAAGATATGTCAGAATATATGCCAGAAGACATGCCAGATAGAATGCCAGAAGATATGTCAGATAATATGCCAGAAGATTTGCCAGAAGATATGCCAGATAGAATGCCAGAAGATTTGCCAGGTAGAACGCCAGAAGATATGCCAGATAGAATGCCAGAACATATGCCAGATAGAATGCCAGAAGATATGTCAGATAGAATGCCAGAAGATATGCCAGATAGAATGCCAGAATTTTTGCCAGATAATATGCCAGAAGATATGCCAGATAGAATGCCAGAAGATATGTCAGATAGAATGCAAGAAGATTTGCCGGTAAGAAAATGTATAAATGTCATGGTGGGGATCACATGAAGTAAAATAATTTAAACAATTGCGACATTGTTCGAGGCAAAACTGTTTTCCAAATAAATGTTGAGTTATTTTACAACCTTCAGCATTCCGCCGGCCCTCTGGCTGTTGGCGGAGAGCCCGAAAGCAGGGTTGTTGGCAGAAGCGGCTGTTGGCTGATCAGGAGGATGATGAGGAGGAGGATGACTCTGGCTGTGGCTGGCTGGCTGGCTGGCTAGGTGGCGGCTGCTGGCTGGCTAGGTGGCTGGCTAGGTGGCGGCTGCTGGCTGGGCTGGCTGGCTGGCTGGCTGGCTAGGTGGCGGCTGCTGGCTGAGCTGGCTAGGTGGGTGGCAGTTGCTGCTTGCTGTGTTGGCTGATGGGTGACGAGGAGGCCGACGGTAGCTGTGGCTGGCTGGCTGGCTAGGCGGCGGCTGCTGGGTGGGTGGCTGGCTTTCCTGCGCTGTGGCTGTGGCTGGCTGAAGTGAAGGCTAGTGTACCTGAAATGGGCTCTGGCTGGTTGGCTGGCTAGGTGGCTGACTTAGACTTAGACATCTTAGACTAGCACTTAGACTTAGACTTACAGAGGGGAGGAACCCGTGCACAGACGACAAAATTCCGTCCAAGAGGAACATTAGCCTAAGCGCTAGCTGAGCTAAAGATTTATCAGAAGAACATCCACAAAACACGCCGGCAGGCCGGCGGATTCTAATATCTTCTGAACAAACAATGCCAAACACGTCGCTAAGATGACAGTTGTCATGTGAACCGGCAGACCCAAGTGAGATGCAAAAAGAATAGAAGGAGTGCGAAAGGAAACTGTAAACTTACACTGTATATTTGCAAGATTGGCCAGACAGGAAAGAAGGGCGTCAAAGACCAGCTGAGTGAGCAGTGCAACATTGATTCAAAAACCCAGCATATTTATCCATATTTAACAAACCATACCGTCAGGTGGCTGCGCGTGAAATTCAAAGAAATTTGAAAGACAGCACCATTGCTATGCAGCGTACTTCGTTTTTTCCTTCATTTTCTTCCTCCCGATTTTAAGTCTGGAAGGGCCTTGGTGGGTTTGTACGATTTTAGGCCTTGTTTTGGCCTCGTTTCTTTTTGCCTATGTTGCCGTAGCGATGGTGCTGCCGCACGCGCAGTGTTTCCTTGATTTCAGCCACTGCCTACAATTTGCGGAATTCATCGGCGTTCGCAATGAATCATTGCAAAAATGCTCGTGATGTGACTTCAGCGGCGTCATGCGCCTAGAATTTTGAACAGCGGCTGCCACACAAGATGTGCCTTCAGCGGCCTGATGTGACGTAAGTCGACACCCCAGTAAGAAACATTTAAAAGACAGCAAGCACACAAACACACAAAACAGAAAACAAAACATATTTTGACAGATAGATGATGGATGGAAAAGATGGATAGCAAACTGAATGCATATAGATGTAAACAAGTTTGTAAACACCATCAGCTGACTTTTAAGACTATGAAATGCGAATTGAAGAAAAAACCGTTCACTATTTTGTTTCTGGAGTAAACATCAACATGGCAAACTGACACAAGAATAGACATTTCTAGTGAAGTGCTTCAACCTCAAAATCAGCAAGTTTCAAGAGATTGAACAAGACTGATTGTAGTCGGTATCAGGACCGTTTTTGCAGGATGGTGCATGATTCTGCATGCCAAACCGCCATCCCATTGCCCTCATGCAAATGTCGCACGTTCTTTCCACTGCCAATTTTATGTTCAAAAAAATCTGGCAGGTGATAGCCCATTTTGTTTGCGCTGTTCTGCAAGGTCGATTCGTGGTTTGCCCATATGTTGTTTTGTTTTGTTTTGTTTGTGCTGAGGCTCGTTATTCTGAATTTTGTTTCCTTGATTGTGGCCCTGGTCCGGAATAGTTTCATCCTCAGGATCCCAATGTGATGAGATTTGTGTGTAAGACCGTGCATGTTTTCTTCGTCTGCAATATATTGATATTATATATATATATTGTGTGTATGCTGTTCAACGACTTGGGACTTGACGAAGAGTTACCACATCAGCTCGCAGCTGAAAATTCGCTCGCACAGCTGCCAAGATGTAAGGTGACGCTCCTTACTTTCAGATTCTGGGCATTTGTTTAGAATTTTCCGAAGTGTAATGCGTTACATCCAATGCCATAAAGCTACCATTTGCGGATGATTGTTGCCACCCGTTCATGGTAATACCGGCGATGGTTTTTCATTGGGTCTACATATTTCACTACTCGGCCTTAGGTTCTATGATTTTCTATGCCCCTTCAGCCTGGTTGTGTTGGAAGATGGATGTGGATTTGTGTATTTTCCAACATGGTTAAGTGACTCAGTGACTCAAAGACCATTGATGATTTTTGATGCAACTGGATTTTCCAGGCTGGCGCGCATGATTTTTGGTACCGGATGGGTTTGAACCGTGCAGGTCCTTTCATGTGGGAGTCGTCCTAAAACCCATGCAAGGTTTTTAGTATCCGAGTGACATCTGCTGATATGGATGTGTATGTTTTGCTGCAGTGGCGAAAGGCCGCAAAAGCGCGGCGTAAGGGCAGTTTTCGGGTACCATAATTTTGGACAACCCCCATGTAGCCATGAAACCATGTTCTATTTCCATTCAGGCTGTGTGTTTTCACTTTGCTGCAAACGAGACATGAATAAAGCCGTCAAGCTTCGTAAGGGAAGCGAGAACCGCCCCTTTTCGGTATGCTTTCTTCCAGTGTAGATGTGTCGTACCCTGCAATCAGGTGGTTGCGGGTTCGGGCGATTCCTTAAGTACGAGAAACCCCCCAATTCCAATGGATTAGAACATCAATTTTCCCCATTGAATTGACATGGCTATTTGATGCTATTTGAGGGTAAACTCCCCGATTATCAGGGGGCTTGAGGAAGTACAGTGAGGAATTCAATGTCATGACCGCGCGAGGTGACTCCATGCGGTGGAATTGGAAAAATTGAGGGTAAACCCTATTTTTAGACACTGCCAAGTTTCTGTCTAGGTGATGAGGGCCCAGGTTGGTGATGCTGCAGGATGATTCTACAAGATACCGTCGATTCCCAAAAAAAAAATACGGACATGAAAACAATGACTCGAGGCGAAACGATACCGCTGTCCGATACATCGGCTTTGTTTCCACTTGGGGATACCGTGGGAAAAAACCATTCCACTGGTGAATTTTCATTATCCCCATCAAAATAGAGGTATTTTGGGGGCACAGATACATCATGATACATCCATATGTCCTTTTTGTTTTGGATCTTCAGCCCCGTTAGTTTTTCTGGCAGCTGCTGTAGGTCATTAAAACTTCCATCGGATCTCTTGCGGTGGAGTTTGCCTGGCATGTCCGCTGCAAGCACGTTTATTTCTGGACTGGTTGGACGATTTCGCTTCATGCGGCCTAGCTAAAAGATGGCCATTGACGGCCCATATGGTTTGTGGTTGCTGCATTCTGTCCTGTATACCTTGTATCGATGTATGAACATGGCCCGCATATTAATTTGTTTGTATATGTGTATGTATATACATATACATGTTATGATATGTTTCATTATATAAAATATAATGAAACATTTACGTTTATATTTAACATGTTGTTTTTGCGAAAGATCCGGTGTTTTTTTGCAATTACGAAAGATTCCCCTGTGTTTTTTTTTGCATTAAAGGTGCAGGGATAGATCTGGAGCAAAGCTTCCAAGTTCTGGAACAAGTTGATTTTTCCCACGGGCTACCCAAAGTCCCAAAGTTTCTCAGGTGTTCCAAGCAAAGTGTGCAGCCAATGCAAAGTCTTGAGGACATTTTTTTGGTGTAGCTCCATGCAAGGCGAGGTTTCAAAGTTCGTGGAACAGCCTCAGACGATTTCCTGAGCAAGGTTCCCGCAACACAGAGCAAGTCTCCCCAAACACGGGCTGCAAAATAGATCGATATACAGTAATTGCTTGAGCGATTTGCAAACTGGGCTCCCAAAGACAAGGTGATGATTGTGATGGTCAAAATACGGACTCGAAGCGCAGAAATTCACAAAGGTGATGAAACTTGATGGTTTCTCTTTGGTTGGTAGTTTCAAATATTTGAATATTTGTCATGTACCATCCTATTGCCTGATACTCCGTGAGTCCATTAGGTTTTGAGATCTGTCGCAGGGGTTCCCGATTTATCGATGTTCCCAGCGAACTACACCTCCATTCATAGGGGATTTCCAAGGCTGCGCTGGAGCAAAGCCCGCAGCGCTGCAGCTCAGTTGGAAGCAGAGATTTGGAAGTTCCGCACGCGCGTTTGTGTCTCCTGGCTTTAAGACTTGTTTTTTTTTCGAACATATCATTGAAATTCAGAAAGTCCCACCTGCCATTGCCTTTGCTTGCCATTGCTCGCCATTGCTCGCATATTGGAAGTACCAAACATCAAAACACATCAAACCATGTTTTTCCTGGAAGAGTTACAGTGGACTGTACAGTCCAGCTCAGGACTATGCTGTAGTGGGAGCCAGCACCTTGTCTCGCTGTCATGACTTGAGCGGCTGCGTCGGCGTTGATCTCACGGCCGTCACGGCCGTCACGGCCTGGCCAAGGAGAGGATGAGGAAGGCAGCGCTCGACCTGAAGAAGGTGGACAAAATTATACGCGAGAACGAAAGCAGGCGCAGTGAAACCTGAGTCAAAGAGAGTGACAATATGACCAATATGTGACAACAAAAAGTTCAAGACATGAGATCAAAGACAAGCAGTGTAAGACAAGGAGTTCAAGACAGTCTCCTAAGACGCTCTGAAGTGCTTTTCCCAGTTAGGTAGTGGCTTTTCTTGGCAGGGTGAGTCGTTCCCTGTTTCCACAGGATGTTACGCGAAGCTTGTTTCGTTCAAATGTCAGATGCTCAGTGCGTTTTTTTCCTGTCTAAGGGAAACGAGAGGTGCAAGAGTGCCATTTGGATTCTTGCCGTGTCAACAAACTTCTGAGAATTTTCAAGCTACAGATGATGTCACCAAGCATATGTTTCCTAATTTGGGTTTCCATGTGCATAGTGTTTACATCTTTTATCATTTTTTCATGTCGAAGCCAGTTTTCACTCTCAAAAGGCTTCACTTTCAACACATGTCGAACTCACATCACATGTCATCCCGTTGCTGTGCCTTACCTCCACGCGGCAATTTCGATGTCACAGATGTTCTCTTCGTAACACAACGACCTCAAAAACCTTTACTAAAAAGGCCGACACCAGGTATGACACAACAATATCTGCAGTATGCCTACTGAGGTCAATAGCATCTTCAATTCCGCCATGGAAGAAATGGGCACCAGCTCATTACACGGCCATGGGGTCGACGAACTTCCTACGCCACGCGCTTCAAACAGCAAAATCCTTGGGCATGGCGCTTAGAGATGCTTAGAACACTGTGGAAGTGTCAACAGACAGGACAGCTTGCAAGAGTTGCTCACTTGAGCTAGCAGCTAGACTCAGCTAGACAGCTATCTCAAAGAGGCCAGTACGATCAAAACAGGGCTGAAGCCAAAAGTTTACGGCGTACCTCGCGGGGACCAATGATCGATCGCGGAGGATATCGGGTGTGCAGGTGAGCTTGAGATGAATCATACAACAGGAATGAACATTAAAGTTAGTTTAAAGTCAGTTTGTAGCTTTGGGGGGGCCTTGTGCTCCAACCTTGTTCGTTGTGTTGGTGGTCCCTGATAGCTTTGTGCTCTCTCTCTCTCCTCTCTCTCTCTCTCTCTCTCTCTCTCTCTCCCTCCCTCTCTCTCTCTCTCTCTCTCCTCTCTCTCTCTCTCTCTCCTCTCTCTCTCTCTCTCTCTCTCTCTCTCTCTCTCTCTCTCTCTCTGGCGGTTGCTTTGGGACAACTTTGTTCTGCAACCCCTCATCTTTCTTCTATCAAAACAGGGAGTCCAATCACAACTGGGTATGATGGAAGCTAGACAAATAAAAGCACATTAAAACATACGAGGAACAAATCTGGAAATTTGCGAACTGTTCCACCACTTGGATGTCTAAACCCGAACACACCCCACGAATGCAATTCAACAAAACATACAAAAACACGTTAAAACACACGACATAAAGTATACGAGAAGAGAATATGTACGGAAAAAGACACATTTAAAAAACAAGGAGAAACAACTACCAAACATGAAAATGACATGAACTCACAAAAACAATAATTCAAAATAAACTAAGCTAATTTGCTCTTATAGATAGTATCATATTGTATCTATCTGAACTGTTTATGGAGCCCATGTCCCATTTCTGTCCATACATGGGTTTGCTTGGCCTGGATTCTCCAACTCCTAGAACTTATCAGCGAACTTTGGTGTTTGCCGAGATGTTCCCGATTCTCGTAAAAATTGTGCAAAACACCTATAAGATCACTAAGTTCCCGGGACAATGGTCACAAAACATTTCAGTGGTGCATTTTCCTGGGCAGTGGGTATCATCATGATCATCATGAGAGATGATCCTTGTGCTGGCTTTGCCAAAGCTATTGCGTATGGCACCTCTCTAACCCAATTTGGAAGGGCTAAATGCCAATTCCTCGCAAAAGAAAAGGCAAGAACAGCGCAAAATACCTCCATTTACCCGCAAATCCCGAAGTGACGATTTTGTTTGTTCAATGAATCCTTTTGATGACCATTGCAATGCTACGGGTTGCCGGAGAAACCAAGTCTTGCATCTCCTGATGGCTCAGTTTAAGGTGTCTCCCATGGTCGCTGAGAAATTGAATAACATGCTGAACTTACCCAAAGCATCCTAAAACCGAAAGCAAGAACTGGTTCAAATGTTGAGACCTGTTTGCGACCGTATCTACCCCGGAGGGATTTGGGAGGCCATGCCCCTGAGGGTCTGTAAGCTCGGGAAGTGAGTAGAGATTTGAGGCTGGGGCAGGTTGCGGAAGCTAACCCCAATCCCAATGGGTATATTGCGAAGTCGTTGAGAATATGTGAGAATGATTTATGAGGAATGAAGTATGAATTAAGTATGACTTTGTGACAATCAGAGCCAGGGCATGCTAAAACCTTTGGTCCAATTGGATGTGGAAAAACAACCGGCCACCGCGCGAAAGCCTTGGCCGTTCGTGATTTGTCCGATTTGCCCCGAGGTTCTTGTGCTGTTTGTGCAGAAGACGGGACCCGGGCAAATTGCCAAACGAAGCCACGCAGGACCCAATCAGCCGAAATCGTTACGATGTGCCTGGGCTTTGCTTCGTCCTCGAGCGATGTTGATGACTTGAGGCAAGAACTCTTTGTTTTTGGTCAGAAGAGGCATGACATGTTAACAGATATATAGTATCATGTGTTTCATGTACACTATAACATATATAATTATATATATAACAGTACATCCATATATTACATTCTATATATTATATGTGCGGCATTTGATCATATTTGGTGTTGCCTTTCACTTGTTAAAAAAACAGTGCCACATTTGAGGCCCCGAGCCAGCTTGATTGGAAGCAATATGGGCACTTAGGCGGCCTTCAGTTGGGTCATGCCCTGTTTTGGACTCAGTGTCGGGTGTGTTTGAAATTTGTGTACCCCAAAATCCAGTGATTAATGATCTCTTCAAAGGGAAACAGTATAACCACATTGCAGACACACCCATTTGTACTACTGTAGATGGACAAAATATTCAAACCCTGCAACAGGCTCTTTGTTGAACCCCCAACCCCCAAAAGTCAATGTTTCAACGCGCAAGAAAAACCCCTGTGTTAGCAAAAGGGACTTTTGGGGGTTGGTGATTTGGTCCATTGGAGCTAAAGCACCTCAGCGCAACATTGAACTTTGGGGGGTGAGGGGGTTGGACTAGATGGAAAAGCTTTGAATATTTCGTCCATTTACAGTAGTGCCAACAAACAATTGTGAAGCCGCTGTGATCAGCTGTGTTCGTGTACGCTGGTTTACAATTTTGAACATGAAACATACTGGCAGGCGTTGACGAGTACTATCAACAGCGAACTTTGAAGGTATTCGAGCGCATGAAGAGTCAAGTGCCTGGAATAAATCTGAGGTTGTTCAGGCTGTGTCACTGCACCCGTCAAGTGCTGTGCGATGGGTAGGTGCAAGCCACATTCTTCCAGCACTACATAACCCATAGGATCCATGTATGCTATATATGCTAACATTTGGGGTATATTGATGGTAAATGTTACCATATATAGCATACATGGATCCTATGGGTAATGTAATTATAAAACCGTGGTGCAAAACTGCATCAACGGCTGCCAGTTTGCCTGCATCACAATGGCAACGGTTTCTTGTTGGCCAAGGCATCTTGGCTGACCTTCAAGCAAGGTTCGCTCGAGAGTTTCCCGGCATGCGGATCTGCTAATGGAACCGATTCGATTCTACCATGTGGCCGTGGGTCAACACCCCGGTACCCTTTGTTCATACCTAAATAATAAATAGGTAACATATCAAAAAAGAGACGGCAATAGAATGTTTTGACCCATACCCGTATATTTGCATGGTGAACATGTTGATTATCTCCTAGTCATCAACCATCAAATTTGAAGGTAAAAAAATCAGGTGCCAAATTTGGATCAAGACTTTCTTTCCGTGAGTTTGGTTTCCCCAAAAAACGGTAGCAAATCCCAAGTGATCAGTGTTCAAAACCTCTGTTGGTTGATTCGTTCGGGGATTTTCTCCTAACCAACCTACTGGGGAATAGTCGAAATCGCTACTAAGCAGCAAGGGACTTCGCCCAAGCAGGGTCACCGGCTGAGGTTTCGTCCTTCTCCTGGGTACCTTTGGTGTTTTGCTATCCACCTTCGATCAGACAGACATTGCGATGATCTGCTTGTCTGTTGTGCTGAGCTTAGGGTGATTGACTCGGGTATTGCGGGGTCTGAAAACCATCATGTGGAAAAAAAATGGATTTCACTTTGGAAATGGGGATTTAAGCTTCAATCAGGAGTTATATAACCAATGGATTCAATTGAGTTTGTCAATTGAGTTTGGTGTGTCTGAAAATGGGGATTGGACACCCCAAACATCAGCCAGGTTTTAAAGGACATGATGATTAACCACAGAACTTTGAGAATTTCTTATTTTCAGACAAACCCATTGGCTCACTTCCGCTAACAGTTTGCACCTTTTTTTTCCCGGTTGACAGATAGTTGGGATGGGTTGAAAACGCCATTCATGGCAGCATCCTGCGCCTTCTGTCTTCATTGTTTCATCCACTTTTCACTTGGACCATGTAGGCAGCAAATTTGCAAGCATTGGATCCTCAGATGCATTGGGCACACTGGGCACACCAGATGAAGTGCCTGTCTTGTGATGGACTCGTGTTGGACTCGTTGGACGGTGAGCTGAGGAAAGATTTCATGCCCTGAGCACCCGTTTAGATGCTGCGAATGCTGGTGAGCGCGACTTGATCTGTGCGTGGCAAGACTGGAGTGCAATGGAACCTCGGGCGAAGATGAGATGGAACCATATGGAACCATCCAAAACTATGATGTCTGATGTCTGCAAAGCAAGTAGGACTCAAGGCTAACTTTCGGGCGAAAGGTACTTGTGAGGTGAATGTTTTGATATATCTTGATATATCTTGATATATCTTGATATATCTTGATGCTTCTCCATTTGCGTCTCAGGAGCCCATGCAACGTCGGTTTCAGTCCAACGTCAGCAGGCTTGTATTGACAACAGAGGGTGCTCTTTGGCAGCGTTGGTGCTGGCATTTGCATATTACATAGTACAAATTAGTATAATTCATGTTGACGAATGTATATATATATATTATATATATTATTATTATATATTATTATTATATATTATTATTATATATTATTATTATGATGGGTGTTATTGTTATTTGTGTTTACTATTCTTATTATTACTATTCTTTTTATATATTTGATTATGTGTAATATACACCAGGTACTCTATAATGTATCTATGTCTTACTTGTATTGGTGTATTAAAATTTGAAATGTTGACATGTTTACATATCTACAGTGACATATACATATGCTATACTATTAAATATGCTACAGCAGACAATCTCTGTTATATCCACAGATTATATACATACATACCACATGTATGAATATGCATGCAATATAATAATATACCCAACAAGGCAATTAGTTGCATCACTTCGTAATGTCTGGAGTAACATCGTAATTGTTCTCATCCAAATCCACAGGGATTCCCTCCATGTTTTCATCATGTTTACCTTTGGTTCCATGATTCCATGATGTCGCATTTTTCCCATGATGCAACCTATATTGAATCAAACTCTGAGATATTATGTTATATTTTCTTCCATCGTATTACATCATTACAGAAGGATCTAAATCTGCTACCCCTCAAACAATATGTATAAAGGTCTTCTAATGGTTGTATTGTATCTTATCCAAAATACAAGTGGTGCAAAAGGGCCGCTTTCTGCGAGAAAGCTAGGATACGGGAGAACCAGACATTTACGTCAAGAACCCTTCCACGACTTCGTGGGGGTCTGTTTAACACTCGGGTCGTTTTACCCGAAAAAACATAGGCTCCGGGCAAACGTCCGGATCTGTGCGCGTAATTTATTTCCCTAGTATTTTTGCAGCTTCTTGACTAAGTCAGTCCAAGTGGTATGCTGCAGAGTCCACAGATGAGCATCAGTTTCAGGGCGGAGTCAGAAAAACATGCCGTTGTGGATTCCAACATTGTTTGCGTGGAAAGCATGGAATGCATATTTGTGTATGTTCAACACATGGTGTTTTCCTGAAATGGGTGCACCCCAAAATCATCCATTTGAATAGGATTTTGCAATTATAAACCATCCATTTTGGGGTATTAAAATTATCATATTATGGAATCCATCATTGAGGGACAAATGATGATTCTGGGGGATTCTGGTTATTAAAATCATCTATAAAATTCTGACTCATCCCTTACTAGGAAACCTCCACATGTGATTATGATTCCCGAGGTCAACGTAGCTTTGACCAGCGCGGCAACTGCTGGAGTTCGCCAAACACTGGCAACGTCAACGATTCTTGGAGAAGCACATATTGGGGATGGTAATCAAGCCATTTAATATCATTTAATAGGGATATGTTCTATACCCATACGTGATATATGGATTCCAACCAATTTTTTGTTTAACTTTCTTGAAGTTTCAAAGTTTCAAATGTAACAATGAACTTTGTTTCCTTGCATGCATTGTTTGCCTTATTGCATGTACTGCCATCTATGTTTTGCTTTCGTTGTTGGCAAAACTTGCGAGACGGAAACTTTTGCTTCAGTAACATTTTGGCCAGGGATGGGGAACTTGAGAAATCACAGCGTGGCATCTTCTGCTAGCTTGGTTTGGTGTCATTGCCCATGTCTACTCTGCGGCCTCTCTGTTGCTTCTCTCCAAATATACTCAATGTTCCTTTGGCAACTTCAAGCCTTCAGAGTCTTGCTTATCTTGGGGTGCTTGAATGTTTTCCGCGTATTCCTCGCAGAAACATTGTCAGTTTGTCAGGAAATCGAACTGAGTTGTTAACGATTTAACTGTCAATAGCAGCCACTCTGTCAACAAAGTAAGGCTGAGACTTGGTAAATTATGTAAACCCAATGCTTTTAGCCATTCTCATTGGGGATTACTGTTGGGTTTAGCACATGTTCATTTGTTTTTGACCATGAGAGACCTGTTCTGATTGGTTGAGTGGCTGCCGCTGACATTTCGTGGCCTCGGGGCCTGAAATTCGTGCTTAAGGCAGAATCAACCGGAAAAGGATAGCTCCAAAAGGAACATCTGGCTTCGGTTCTAAAGTCGAGGGACTTTCCAGCAGCAAAGCTGCTTTATCCAGGAATGCGCTATATAAACAGTTTTCCAATTTTTACACAGGCTTTTGGGTTCAACCTCCTGTGTTTGCTTTTTGGTCTTCAACAGTCCTGTGTCATACAGCTTTGCACCACTGAAAAAAGAGGACCAGAAGCCGATCCATGCTAACGGTTCAGTTCTAGAGCCGTCACGTGCCACAAGCACGACTGTGACATCCATGCGGGTGTTGGTCAAAACCAAAAAGCTGCTGGTCGGATAGATTCTTACATGAACATCCACAAGAGTTTGGTTCTCATTATGAGATGACCACATTCAATTCATTCCCATCTCCAAGCAGTCAAGCTCTGGCTCTTCACATATAAAGCTTGTAGGCATAGGGCATTGCGCAATTTTGGACATCTTTTGCTCAAGACAGAGTGAGAAGCTCGCCGGTTTCATAGGCTGGTGGCTCTTGGCAGACAGATCATTATCACCTAAATCTTCAAGATTCTTTAGGCAGTGAGAACCGTAGCAGCCAAGCCGAGCATTTGCTCAATTCAAAATTGTGTCAACAGGGTCTCATTTCACTGTCGGACTTGGGATGCGTGTGCAGATTGCAACAATATGATAGCCATACATTTTTTCAAAAGGGTGGGAGCACGTCACAACAGCAATGAGATGTCGGGCAATGTTGATAGAAAGCCATCTGCAATCTTTTTATTCGGGCGCCCAAGTTTGACCCATACCGCGCCCCTCACCGTGGATATATGCACATATACACAATGAAATACACATATTACATCAAATGTACGTGAAATTATCGTAAAATATCCAGACTTTGATGACATCTAAATCAATTCTGATGCACCAACTTTAAGCAACGCTTGCGTCAGCACCATAACCCTTTTTCGCCACAAAAACACTGTGGCACGCCCTGAACAGGCCTTCAGGCCTGTTAACCATTGTTTTTGTGCTGTGATTGGCGAGGGAATTTTCAGCTAGATCCCATCAGCAATTTGTTGTGGGGGAGTGGCCTGGAGAGTTGCTCTGAAGACATCGGTTTGGATACCCGCCCTCGAGTGAGGGTGGACAGTCTTTGCAACAATGTGAGGTGACAAAGGTGTTTGGGGAATACCTGGCCAAGCATCATGTATACTTACTCATGTTTGTTTTCTGTCTTTGAAGTTTCCATCCATTTCCATCACTACAGGATTGCATCCCGGAAAATTGGTATTTGTTGATGCTGTGTTTGGTTCCCCTGGTGTATCTTGCTCATCATACTTGATGTGGCCATTCCAATCCTTCCAATCCCGCTCTGAAACTTGTCCCTCTTCCCCCTGTTTTTTGGTGAACTCAATGCCATGATTTTCCCGAGGAGGTTTTGTTGTTGGGCCCTCTGCTAAACTAACATAGCCAACTGTTGAAAATCACCGCCAACATATGATAAATCCAACTATATCCAAAATCACCCATTTTCCAGCTCGCAGTTCATTAGTTTCTCAGAGGGTACCTCGTAACATCGTGTAACGCCGTAGCATGTCATAGCTCGTTTCACGAGGGCGATGATTTCCATGACCCCCATGGGATGGTGAGGGGTTTCGGGCGCAAGCCGAGCGGTTGGTGTGAAGATGCTGCGATGTCCGCAGTCAAAACTTGTTGCGATGTGCCGTTGCAGCGACTTCCGCACCTCCATAGCTGCCAGCTGCCATAGGAGACGACAAGAGTTTACATTTTATTCAAACCAAATCAGTGCAGTTGCAACATCATCACAGGTCATCATTACTTGAGTGCGAGACTGAGCAGCAACTGCCATCGACCAGTACCAAACTTGGCATTTCCTCATGCGGACTTTCCACTTTGTCAGAACACCTCTGGTTGCCAGTCAGAGATTACACATTTACATGCCATGGACCACAAGCTCATATTGCCCCTGAGGGAGCCACACTGTTTGGGAAACAACGTCATTTGCTTTGGTTCAAACTGCCGAGAGAGATTAATATAGACACAGTGACATAGCTCGAATCGCATGGTCCAGAAACACTTCTTGGGACTCCGATACTGGCATTGCATGCTTCTTTGTCTCGGATTACGCATAGAATGCCATGCAAAATCATACGAAGCAATTGATGGGGCTTTCCAACAGGTTATGGGGGTATAGCCGTTATAAATTATCCATATAAATCCATTTATACTGGATATCCATATCATTAATAAATCCATATCAATGATGGATCATTATTAATCCATTTTAACATTTTTTCCGGTCTAAATTTTCCATCCTGCTCAAATCGCCATGGCTTCCCCTTCACAGGCACGCCCTTTCTGGTGTGGCACCGTGCGGCACCTCGTTGGATGTTTCCCCGCAGAATTGTATCCCATTGATATGCCATGGAAATTTGGATCTATGGGATCTATCCGAATGGGATCTAGATCTATTTTTCGTATCCCATTACATGAACACATCCCATAACATATTGATATCCCATGGATCTATTAAATCCCGGAAATTGAACTTTTTTTCGATTCAGACTAAAATCCCATTTGGTTGAAACCTTTCAGCAGTTAGATAACCTGATCGTGGTGGATGGTGCAGGTTTGCAAATTGGAGGGATTCCTTAAAGTCATGCAAGACCCTTGACAGTTACATGTTAAATATATTAATATACATGCATTGCATTACATTACACGATACTACATTACATTACATTGCATTACATACACACACACAAAGAGACAGACAGACAGACGGACAGACAGCCAGCCAGGCAGGCAGGCAGCCAGACAGACATACACACATCACGTGTCTGAAAACCGGGCACCCCATTCCATCCACTGGTTTATCATCATTTTGCGAATGGGTTATGGACGTATACCTCATTTATTGTGTGTACATACAATCACATATAATCTTATATCTTATATAATCATATATGATCATCATTTATATGAATGTCTCTGACTATATATATATAGTGTGTATATATATACATATTCAATACATGCCACTAGGCACACCCTGAGCCACATCCTGACCCGACAGGACACAGAACTGGACGTAGAACTGGGGATCCTGGAGACAGAGGCCTTGACAGTCGTCGCCAGCGACCGGGGTAAACCTACAGAAGATGTGGAAAAGCCATGCGGAAAATCTACATCTATCATATAGAAATATATATATATATCTCTACATGCTGGGGAAACGCCACATCGAATGTTTACCCTAGGGTAGTGTAGCAACAGTGGGGATGGAAGCGGTAAATCATAGATGTAATTTATATAGCCTGCAGCAAATAGTACATAGACCTTAAAAACGGTAAGGTTTTAGTGGAAACTCATGTTCCAAACGTCCAAACCCCTCTTTGAAAATGGTCTGTATGTAAATTTACCGAAGGGTAATGTATATATATATATTTGGATAAACGGATATAAACAACATTTTTGGGCTTCGATTCACCGGTGATGGGGATGTAGTGGGAATTTCAACCAGTAAAGGTGATTTGCTTACACAATGTGTGTGTAATTATTTTATAGGTAATATTACAATAGTCGCACTGCGACATCATGGTTAGGCTTTGTGTATCCACTTGAGGGCATCAGTTCAAGCTAGGGAATCACCGCCATAGTTTATCAAGAGGAATAGTATCATATGTATAGCTGTATAGCTAGTGCTATGAATAATTATGAGCAGCTTTGACTAGTATCAGACATCACCTGGCACCACTGGGTCAAATGAACCGTCGATCTTCACTTTCAGAGAGGTTTCCTGGTCAAATGGTTTGCACATTTGCACATTCAGATTTGAATCTTCAGCATCCTCTAGCCTTTGTCTAGGTCTACAGAAGCGAGGCACAATCAGCACCCCGAAAGGTGCGTGACTTTGAAAAAAGCACAACTGCTTTGTGGATTTCGCTGCGCATCTCTTCGAAGATCAGTTTCAAATCTTCAAAAGTCAGAGATCGCACATCATTCACACATCATTTACAAATAATCTCTTTTCATGATTTTTCATGCAGATTCTCATTGATTCACTGGATCCGTAATGGTGGCTGTGGCACAGGGCATTCAGACCAGTTTCAGCGCCACAGCTGGTGAGGCACGACTTGCTCTGGTCAGCAGGTGATTTTGAAAGCACGGCATACGGCTATATATTTCTTGTATCGGGGGAGTGCGAGCTGCAGACCAAAGGAGAAAGCTGTAAAAAAACACATTTTTTCACAGCACGCCGAATGAGACTTGGACTTGCGCTGCCTCGGAGTCTCTGAATATATTAGACAAAGCGCATAGATATGTGGCATAGGCATAGTTGGCCTTCCATGCCGCTGAAGCGTATGTAGGAGACCAGAAAGACGAAGAGGGCGGCGAAGAGGGCGGCGAAAAAGAAAGCTACGATTCAGCTGTCGCAGGATTCATTGAATGTGAATCTAGCTGAATCTAGCTGTTCAGAGAGGGAAACATTGAAACATTTTTTGCCAACAACGTTGCCAGCAACACAGAAGTCATCACTTTGAAACCAATTTGAAACATGATCACATTGATGAGACTGCTGCAAGTAAGCAATAGTGGTTTTGAGACACCAGTCATTGCCAGCCATCGCACGCGACAGGAGCGAGACTTGGAACAAGGCGAACATGGGGCTGAACCTGAGCCATCTCCGCCTTCAAGCAGCCAGAGGCTCTCGAGTAAGCTGCGGAGGAGTCTGTTCCTAGACTCCGCTTTGCCTTTCAAAGACAAGGGGGTCCAGACACCGGAGCCTTCGGAGACCGAAGCTGACTCGCAGCTTGGCTCTGAGCCCATCAACGATGCGATCAACGAGGCAAAAGATAAGAAGGATGATGAGGAGAATGAAAAAAATGCTGAGAAAAACGTCCACGGCACAAAGGAGAATATCGATGAGAAAACTAATAAGAACAGTCCTAATGAAAGCACTGATGGTACACAAAAAAGCGATAAGAAGAAAGATCAGAAGGAAAAGGACAAGGAGAAGAAGCCTGAGGACCTTTTTTTCCGAGATTTCTTGTGTTTCTTGGTCTTCTTGGCCCGCTGTTAAGTTCGACATCTCTTGAGATCATGAGACCTGTGCTCAAAAAAGGGGTTTCACTTTTTCTCAGGACGGTAAGCAAACAGAAGATAAGGGCAGACAAGCGGACGAGGAGAAGGCTGGTGACAGGGTGTGTCGCTTCCAGATTACAGCTTCGACCAGTTGCTGGATCTTTTGCAAGCACAGACGGGCTGGATGTGTCTTTTTTTAGTGCTTCGTGTCTTGTGGCTTTGTCTGAAAATAGGGTCCGCCAAATTCAATCGCTTATCATCATAATTTTCCATGATAACATTTGCCATAATATATATATATATATGTTTATTGTGTATATAGTTATACCAGTAGTACCGCACAAGGCGGTGGCGGAAGTTTCAAGGATAGGATGCTATAGGAGAGGTGAGTTGTTGTGATGCATTGATGGCAGAGCGAATCCACTGATGGACCGAAAGGTGGTTGGAATTCTGTTTTTTGGAGTGGTTGCAGTGGTTGCAGCCACAACTGCTGGATGTAGTGTGGTGTAGTGCAGCTGTAGTTGTAGTGTAGTGGAGTTGTAGTTGTGTGTAGTGTAATCAGTGTAGCGAAGTTGCAGTTGTAGTTGTGTAGTGTAAAGTGATGTAGTGTAGTGTGCTGTAGTGTTGTGTGCTGTAGTGTCTTCTAGTGAAGTGTAGTCTGGTGTAGTGCAGTGTAAAGTAGTGTAGTTGTAGCTGTAGTTGTAGTTAGTGTAGTGTAGCGTAGTGTAGTGTGGCGTAGTGTAGTGTAGTGTAGTGTAATTAGTGTACTGTAGCGTAGCATAGAGCAGTGTAGTGTAATTAGTGTAGTTTAATGTAGTGTAATTGTAGTTGTAGCTGTGGTTGGAGTTGTCGGTGTAGTAGTAACAGTAGGTGTATGTGTAGTGTAATTAGTGTAGTGTGCTGTAATTAGCGTAGTGTAGTGTAATTTGCGCAGTGTAATGTAATTAGTGTAGTGTAGTGTAACTAGTGTGCTGTAGCGTAGTATATGTGTTTTTGTATTTGTAGTGGTAGTGTAGTGTGGTTGTAGTTGCAGTTGTAGTTGTCTATCGATCGATCAATAGATCGATCTATCTATCTATCTATCTATCTGCCTTTCTGCAAGTTTTAAAAACAAGCTATTCTGCGAGACTTCCTCAATTTTTGTTTTTGAGAGACGTCCTGAATTTTCGAAGTTGACAACATCAAAAACGAAGCAATTCTGCGAGACTTCCTTCAAAAATGGAAAGTTGAGTGCAGAGCTGACAGCCTCGTACCAACGCGTTTTGCGATTTTTCCAGCCCATGTCTCTGAAGTATTGCGCCTGCCACGAAAAAGTGGTGCCAGGTCATATACTGCTGCACCTGTCACACAAAATCATCTCAGCAAACCTGAAGATCTGATGCTCCAAAATGCGACCCCTCTCAGGAAATCAACACCCTGACCTCCGAACAGCATCTCTGATGAACATATCTCTTGTACTGCGCCTGCTACGCGACATGCACCTTTGCAGATCTTCTTGAAATGCCCCACGCCTGCCATCGTTTTTGGGAATGCTAGAAAACCATAGCATTTTTGCTCACTTTGGGCAAGGTGCAGAATCCCTTGCGCCTGCCACGCAGAACCACATCTGAACCTTCAAAAGTGGTCCGAGCATGTGGTGCTTTTAACATGTCGACTTCGAAATGTGCTTCGCGCCACAGCGCCGTGCGCTTTTTCAACATCTCAACTTCCAAAAGTGTTCCGGACCTGGTTTGTTTTGTACATATTAACTTGGAAATGTGCTCCACGCCACAACGGCATGCGGTTTTTCAACATCTCAACTTCCAAAAGTGGTCCGACTTTTGAGGTGTTTTGTACATGTTTACTTCGAAACGTGCTTCCCGCCACAACGGTGTGCACTTTTTCGACATCTCAACTTCCAAAGCGGTCCGAAGGTGAGGTGCTTTCTACATTTTGACTTCCAAATGTGCTTCGCGCCACAACGGCGAGCAATTTTTCATCTCTCATCTGGCCAGCTGGCTCCGCACCCGCCGCTTTAGCGAGCCTACTGTTCGACCCTCCGGAGCCACAAATCATTAGCAAAAACACAGTGTTTCTCGACTTTCCTACCTTTTCGCGCACCTAGATCTTCTTTCTTCTGAGACTTTCTCTTTTTTGATCTTCTTTCTTCTTCTCTTCTCTTCTCTCTGCTGCTGCTTTTTCGATCTGTCCATATTGTCGGAAGTGTGACTTCTAAACTTCCTTCGGTTATATATATATGTGTGTGTGTATGGTTTTATAATGTATACATATACATATATATATATATATATATGTGTGGGTATACCCTATGTTCAGAGAGACTTGCAACAAACCCCAGTGATGACCAGCACCGATGGTTGGGGGATCTTTGACTCGAGGCGTCTTCCTTGAAGCATGGGAAATTTTCCACGGATGGACGAAACTCAGATATCACGAGAGGTTCTGGCTGAGTAATAGGAATCATTGCTGTGTAATCCCTTCCCCCTAATACTAACTCCGCCAAATAATAAACACCTCAGGTAGTTTTTATTATTAGTGGGGTATTTATTATTAGGGAACCAAAGGGGACCCTGATCATAAATTTAAACCTTTGATTAAGAAAACCTATTTTTTCGATTTCAAATGAATTAAATTTGTTTTTATACCGCAATTAAAACCCTAATAAAATTCAAAAAACAAATTTTCGATTTCGAAATCAAAGAAGTTTCCTTTTATAACGCAATGAAAATATTGCAAAAAGTTGGATTTCGAAGCGGACCCTAATACTAAATTTAGACCCTTAATTGATTTTTTGGGGGTTTCAAAATCAATTTAATTTCCTTTTATAACATTATGAAAATATTGCCAAAACTTGGATCCCGAAGCGGACCTTAATAATAAATTTATACCCTTAATTTAAGAAAAACGATTTCAAAATCAATTAGATTTCCTTTAATATCGCAATTAAAATGTTGCCAAAAATTGGATTTCGAAGCTTTTCCCTAATACTAAATTAAAAACAATAATATTAAAAAAACAACACCTAAAATTTTCGGACGGACCCTAATTAAAAAAAACACCCCGGGGCTGACTAGTTTTTATTTTTTAGGGGGTGAGACCCACAAATAGTAGCTTTATTTTTAACTTGTTTTCTAAAGGGGGTCCGTTAAAAGTCAAATTGGCCAACCTGAAATTTTCCAAACTTGGAGATGGACCTTAGTTTTTATTATCCGGGCGGGTTTAGTAATAGGGGAAGGGATTATTTCCCTATGGCATCCAAGCTGGTTGATCTGGAAGATCTTTTCCACTGTGCATACTATTTGTAAAAATGCTCGGACAAGAACACAGCGTGCGAGCTGGTAAATCAGTCACCGTACAGATCCAATTTCAAACGTCAACCAAAACTCTTGCGACAGCTGGTGAAGATTTCAATTCTTTCGGCATGGAGTCAAGGAACGCAGGAATTCGTGTACATTCCAACTGCGGACTTTTCAGCCACTCAGCTTTGGGATTTTGTTTTGGCCCTATGGCCCAATGCCACATCATTTTCAATGGACACGATGGGTCAAAACTTGCCACAGTCTCCGATCTACAATATGATGCATTATATATGTATACGTATGTGCACAGACTTGTACTAGACATGATATGACACATAGTATTAGTATATTATGAGAAGTGTCAAAAACTATTGTTAATGTTGGTTCGACTGCTTCTTTAAAAGGGATCATATTGATCGTTCCCACCCATGAAATGGGAATTGCCATGACGCATGATTCATATGATGTCTCAAATGGTAGTGGATGATCATCCATTGTCTTTTTTGTCCCCGGTCCCGGCACAACCGCAAAATTAAGGAGGACGTGAACAGCAGGTCCGCGGATATCTTTGACCAAGTCTTACGCCATTGGAACCTTGCCAGGCGGGAAAAAAAATACACCGGCAAGAGGCCCCAAACAGTGTGGGTAGTGGGAAGATAATGTATGATAATGTTGCTGATGATGATGATGGTGATGATGATGATGATGATGACGATGATGGAAATGAGGATGAGGATGACGATGATAATGTTGCGGACGATGATGAAAGATTTCAATTGAGATCAGTCTACTTTCAATTAGTGCAGTTTTCTTTTTTAAACCCAGAAGAAATCTCAAGAATAGTAAGGATTTCAATTGATATCAATCTACTTTCAGATGATTTTCCTTTTAAACCAAAAAGACATCTAAAGGAGCCAAGGGGGTTGAGTAATTAGGGTGGAACCCTGCCTATTTTTGGGAAGGTGCTAATGCAACAAAGTAAGTATGATTGTAGTGTGTGTTGAGCCAACAGAACCTGATGGGGAAATTTCTGTCAGAGGTTTGTCTGAGTCAAAACTTTGTGTGAGACTTGAAAGGAGTGGTGTTCAAAGCATGTGACAAAAACAAACACTGATTTTCTCTGTGGAGGTTGACTAATCGGGTGAGTCCCCGCCGATGACTAATCAAGGAGGACCAGCCTGTTTTAGTATTGCCCAATCTTGTTTCCTGTGCGGGGTTGATTAATCCCTAGGCATTTTATAATCACAATCACGCATTGGTGATGATATATATGGTGTTCAAGAATAGACGCAACAATTTTTCTATAGGTTTGAATTGGTGGGGTAGTTAATAAGTGATATACAGTCAGTAAACGTCAGTATACAACAAGTGTTAGTGATTTTTTGATTCGATTAATCCAGGATAGCTGTTTCGCTATCAATAATCACTAATAACTACCAATTGCGGTCTAATCATCAGGAATCGTTCATATTTGGCAAGATTCATCTGAGCAGTTGTTTGAAAAAAGCCTGGTTGATTGGTTATCATCGAGGTTATTGACCTTTAGCCTTTCTGGGGAATGATCATCAACCAGGAACCAACAAGGATTATGGCTGGACTGACAGCGATTTTTGAAGACTGCTGAGCTGTCAAAATCGCCCATGCACGCACATGGCCGTGGCAAAATATCTAAAAAGGAAATCTAACTGGGAAGACTCTGTAGAATTACCGATTTGCATCGGTTTGCCATTTTGTTTGATTACCAAAGAGAAGGAGTTGCCGGGTGATGTTCAAGGCCTGTAGCGTTGCGCAGGGCAGGTGCTCTGAACTTCTTGGGAATTGTTTTTCTGGTTTGGTTCCAAAAGTTTTTATGGTCATGCGCCTCTAAGTAAGACTAAGTAAGTTGTTCGGGCATTCAGACTTGCATTCTGCAGCCTCTTTTGGAAGGCCACAGCTCCTGATCAAGTTTCAATCAGGCACGCTTGCTGTGTGTCTTTGTTGGGTCAGCAAACAAGTTCGGCTAGCTTTTCGCTTACCCAACCGAGGGCGCCTAATCGAAAACAAGAGGCTTAGCCCAGGTGGACACAAAGAAAAATTGTCTAGCCACTATAACCACTGAAAATCTCCGTTTTAATAAGTATATCATCTATACAGGGGGCATTTTCCATAGGTGTGTTAGTTTACTGGGGGGTAGCCGCTGCCGCTGCTCAGACTCATTGATTTTGCCGCAGGTTTCGCACATCCAAAGAAATTGCTGGCCAGAGACGAGATTGACAAGTTTGAGAGCATAGTTGCCAATTCAAATGAAGAGCCGGTCTCTTGGTGTTAAAAACAAGAGAAACCAACAAACCCGAATGCAGTCACGTAAAACACTTTTTGTAAAGCAAATCATTTCAACAGTCTTGTACATTTTTCCCGTGTTACCGTACCAGTGTAGGTTGTGGAGTGTGGAATGGGGTGGGGTGCAGAGTGTGGAGTGTGAAGACAGTGAAGACAATGGAGTGTTGAGAGGGGAATGTAATGCGCAGGGTATGAGATGGGAATTGTGGTGTGTGAAGTGTCGAGTGTAAAGTGTAAAGTGTGGATTGTAAAGTGTAGAGAGTGGAGATTGAAGTGTAAAGCGTAGAGTGCGGAGTTTAAAGTGTAGAATGTGAAGTGTAAAGTGTAGAGTGTGGAGTGCCAAGTGTAAAGTGTAAAAGTTAAAAGTGGAGAGTGTGAACTGTAAAGTGTGAAGTGTAGTGCGTAAAGTGTAAGGTGTCGAGTGTAGGTGTGGGGTGTCAAGTGTAGAGTGTGAAGTGTCAAGTGTAGAGTGTGTAGGGTGAGAGGCAAGTGTAGAGTGTGGAGGGTGACATGTAAAGTGGAGAGTGTGGAGTAACAAGTGTGGAGTGTGAAGTGTAAAGTGTAGAGTGTGGAGTAACAAGTGTAAAGTGTGGAATGTGAAGTGTAAAGCGTTGAGTGTGGAGTGTAAAGTGTAGAGTGTTTGAGGTGTATGAAGTGTAGATTCTGAAGCGTGGGGTTTCAAGTGTGAAGTGTAAAGTGTAGAGTGTACAGTGTAGAGTGTGCAGGGTGGAGTGTAAAGTGTAAAGTGGAGAGTGTGAGGTGTGGAGTGCACAGTGTAAATTGGAAAGTGTAGAGTGTGGAGTGTAAAGCGTACAGTGTACAGTGTAGAGTGTGGAGTGTAAAGTGTAGAGTGTGTAGGGTGGAGTGTGAAGTGTACAGTGTACAGTGTGGAGTGTCAAATGCAAAGTTTGAAGTGCGAAGTGTGAAGTGTAGAGTGCGGAGTGTAAAGTGTAAAGAGTGGAGTGTAAAGTGTAGAGTGTGGAGGGTGGAGTATAAAGTGTAGAGTGTGGAGTGTCAAGTGCAAAGTGTAAAGCGTGGAATTTAAAGTTTGGAGTGAAGAGTGTCAAGTGTGAAGTGTGAAGTGTTAAGCGTAGAGTGTGGAGTGTAAAGTGTCGGGTGTAGAGTGTGGAGTGTAAGTGTGAAGTGTAGAATGTCCCAAATACGGCGCCTACCACGCAAATCAACAGTCCACACACGCTATGGAGTGTGGAGTAGAGTGTGGAGGGTCGAGTGTAAAGTGTAGAGTGCGGAGTGTCAAGTGTGAAGTGTGGGGTGTAAAGTGTAAAGTAGAGTGGCCCAAATACCGCGCCTGGCACACAAGACAACAGTCCACACACGACGGATCTTCACCAAATGCTGTGTCCGTGACGCGAGATGACGCTCTCACGATCTCCCGCGTCTGCCACGCAATTGGCACGTTGACACCACCTGACGCAGCCCTGACAGCACCATGCGCAAAAAAGCACGCAACACGACACGTCTAAAGTGCTGCGCCTCTCACGCAAAATGACCATGGAGGTCTCCAAAGTGCTGCGCCGGCCACGAAAAATGCAAGTCCTTCTGAAAACCTTGCAAAAGTATTGCACGTGTCACGCAAAACGACCTTTGACACTTTTTCAAACACGTGAGAATGTCACGAAGTGCCACGCCTGCCACGCAAAACGCCATTACAACATATATTTACAACCTGTTTTGAGACCTTCGAAAATGAGAGGTTTTGCAGATTTCCCCATAGACACGGCGACGTCACAAACAAACCGGAGAATGGTGACGAGACATGTTGGAGCCTCGAAACGAACATTTCCTGCGAGACCTCCCCAAATGTTCACACACTTAATAGCTACACAGTCGACGTTTTCCTACGAGTTTTGTCATGAACCCCAAGAGTTGCTATACATCAAAATCGATGTTTCGTGCGAGGCATCCGTCAATTTTCATCACATCTCACAGAATGCCACGCCTGCAATGGAATTTGCACGTTGTCACCACTTGACACAGCCTTGACAATGCAATTCGCACAAAACACAACAGGCCATGTCTGAAGTGCTGCGCGTGCCATGCAAAATGACGATGAAGGTCTCCAAAGTGCTGCCCTTGCCACGCAATATGCAACTCATCTTCTGAAAAGGGCGAAAAATTATTGCGCTTGTGTCATACAAAACGATATTGGACATGTTATGAAACATGTTGGAACGTCACGAAGTGCCGCGCCTGCCACAAGAAACCATGCCACGCGACGTTTGAAACCTCCAAAAGTGACCACTTTTGCAGAACTCACCAGACGCACGGCCATGTTGCTGCGAACGGTTGCGAACACATTTCAGCGTGGAGCGACCGCGTCTCAACCCCCAGACCCCCAAAGCAAAACGAGAACCCTTTGCTACGCATTCGGGAAACATACGGAGCTGGTGGCGTGCCGGGGCCGATGCTTTTGAACTTCCGCTAAGGAAATTTATAAATACTTCAAGCACTTCCTACTATGCGTGCAGAACCGAAACTTTGCAATTGCTGAAGAGGGTGGTGAGATGCTGGATGAGAAGGAAGAAGCGCTGAATCTATTGAATGAGTTCCTCTTCAAGTCCTTGAGTGCCATTGCCAGCACTGCATCATGTTTTGCCTGACTCAAAAGATGTGGGGCTGGGGGATCACAAGTGACACTTGTCTAAACCTACCAGGAGCCTCTGGTTTAACACCCCAGCAAGAATTTCTAGGTAAGAGAGTTCAGTTTAATGTGTAGCTTTCAAGACATGTCTCCTGATGGGCAAAACATTTCGAAACATCAGATTGCCAGGGATCAAGGCATATCCAGAATGGCATGAGACAAAAAGTGACTCAGCCTGTTAGAATCCGTTCGCCTCGGACTCCTGAGAGATCATTTGCAAGCAGGCCGATAGTTTAGTGGGATGGTTACCGGATGATTTGTTTTCCTTGCTGGTCCATGGTTTTGCTTTCAGCATGCTGCCTGCGCTCAGGTAATCTCATAGTGTCTTGTCTCGTGGGGTCAGCATGTGCAGATCTGAAACAGCAGCTACAAACTGAACGTGGACAAGCAGAAACTGTGTCATTTTTCAATTTTCCTGATTTTTCAAAATTCTCAGGATCCACACTGACACACGACTGTTGCAACATGCTGAAACCTACCATAGCTAATGAATGCTTGGGGGTGCAGTTCCATTTATAAGCACAGTAGACACAGTAGAATACAGTAGATATATAGCGAGAATTATACGGCTTTTAGCCCGACTTCTGTAATTACTATATATATATATATATTTACATCACCTTGTTGATCGAGCCCATGACATCCCATGGTCATTTGACAATCCACGAGGATGTCATTGTCCGAGCAGCCGTGCGAAACCGTTGCTGGATCTTGGTCGAGGGTGGCCCAAATAGTGCCGCGGCAGGACATCACCTCTTGTCTAAGAGAATTAAGACGATAGTAACGATAGTAAATGTATGCTTCTTGAAATTACCACCATTTTTCATAGGAAACATTATCATATATCATTTCCTATTTGTATGGACCATGGCTTCCATATCTATGTCACAATTTCCATATCTATGTTCAATATCCAGAGGGTACATCTTGTATTTTATGTGCCATGGTCAAATTACTGGATTGTGTACCCATTGTGGGACGGATGACCAAAACCCATATACCGTGTTTTGACCCTAGCACATATATGATATATGATGATATATTGATATATGCATAGTATTTTAAAAATCATACCTGAAGTTATTATTCCACGGAATGAGTTTGGGTAGTCAAGCAGTCAACCTTCCCTTTTTGTGGCGCAAGTGATGGCGGAACTGTGAAAGTGCTGCAGGTTGCCCTGATTTCAGGTGGCTTGCTGCTGTTGAAGCAAGCGGCTGAGCGGTGTAAAGAATCCCCTGTGGTCTTGGTGCTGGACGGCGTGCGGCGCAAGCGATTTGCGTGTCTTTGCATGCACCAAGACTTTGGTAGTTCGACGCAGAATACCCAAGCCACATCAAGCCACAAAAATCTGACTGCAACCGCATGATCTGTCCCACAATTGCAATGCCAGATCTCCCTGAGTTACGCGGAGCTGAACGAGAAGATCAAAGACTATGCTGGACATTCGGAAGTGCAGGTGCGGCGTCCAGCATGAAAGGGAACTCTTTCACCCACTACACTGCTGGTATCTGCTGGTCGTGTGGTGAAGTAATTACTAATTGAGAGGCCTGACCGCCAAGATCTAGGGAGGTTTGCTGGTTAGTCAGGGATGGCCTGGAGTGATACTCTGAAGCATATTGGGCGGAACTCCGCAGGGTTCATGCAGAAGGTCTAAGAGGCTACGCCCAGGTTTGGAGGTTCCAAACATGTTCTTGCTTGCAGAGTGTGTGAAGTACTTGTGGTAGCACAAGTAGAGGACCAAGCTACCGAATGTGTCTAAATGTAGTCACGGGAAGGCTGAGCCCTAGACCTTCGCACCGAAACGATGCCAGAATTTGGACGACCTCGTGAAATTGGAAGCATCAAGTGAACCTGAAGACAACAAGATAGCCCAGAGCTCAGCTGCCGTTGGCTATGGAAAAGCATACACTGTAAATTCATATGTTTTTGGAGGACATCCAATAACATGAGCATATTCACCAGGGTAGCAGAGTTTTGCCCCATGGCATCCCATGGCCACCAAGGTGAAAGAAGTGATTGACAAGATGCGTAAGCGAATGCGCATGAAAGGATGGGAGAAATTCAAAAAGAAGCATGATGACCAGGAGGCCAAAGAGGACAAAGGCGCATCAGGGCAGTGACGGCCAGTGGCTAAGCAGAATTCAAAAGTCAGAACATTGCCGTCATGAGCGCTGGACATGAAATCGCTGTAAACAGTGAAGGTGCATTTGGTGCTTTTTCTCGCTTTCCGATGCTCTGCTAGGACGCAGACCTACTGTGGCCACTGTGGGTACTGTGGCCACAGCGGCCACTGACAAAAGTGTGAACACAGTGCAAAGTCAGACATCACAGACTCTTAAAGAGGCACGGGGACGTTGCTGCGTTGCTTTCTGATCTTAGCGCTGTTTGGACTTGTCATATCAACATGAACTTGCTTCACTATTAATTTAGCATGATTCCGTCTTCGTTGATGAACGTCTCTCCAGATTTTCTCCTTTGCTAAAAGCCAGCTTGACCCTCGCTTCACGTTTTTGTTTTGATTTGCAGCGACAACATGTCGACAGCTAGTTTCGCAGCCGTCCTGGGACTGGACATAGATTTGTATACTGCAGCATGTTTACACATAATATATTTATATATATGTATACACATAATACTAATATATTTTAATGTATGATCACTAGATTCCGCAGCACATGATATGTCATAATATAATATCTCATGATATGAATCATTGCATCATGATATTTCATTATATATCATCATGTACTGATATACCTATACATGTATCAGGCCTTGCGACTATTGCCATGATGGCCCTCATGCGCATGAAGAGTTCTTAGTGTTCTTGCTTTTTTCCCGAGAGCGCCTGAGCGCAGGGTTCTTCCAATAGTGGGGGTCTGTATCTCATCTTCTCATCTTCACATCTTTTCATCCTCACATCTTCACATCTTCACATCTTCTCATCTTCACATCTTCTCATCCTCACATCTTCTCATCTTCACACATTCAAATCCTCACATCTTCACATCTTCTCATCTTCTCATCTTCACATCTTCTCATCTTCACATCTTCTCATCTTCACGTCCTCACATCTTCTCATCTTCACATCTTCTCATCATCTTCACACATTCACATCTTCTCATCTTCACACCTTCTCATCTTCACATCTTCTCATCATCACATCTGCTTTCACATCTTCACATCTGCTTTCACATCTTCTCATCTTCACATCTGCTCATCTTCACATCTTCTCATCCTCACATCTTCACATCTCACATCTTCTCATCCTCACATCTTCACATCTTCACATCCTCACATCTTCACATCTTCTCCTCTTGCCTTCTCTTGCCCTCACATCTTCACATCTTCTTCTTTTGTCCTCTTGCCCTCTTGGATTCTCCTTCTTTTCTATCTCTCTTCTGAAGGCGGGGGCAGGGGCAGTGCCAACGAGACGGCACGAAACGCAACCCTTTCGCACGAAATGAAGATCAATGGCCAAAAACTGATGTAAAATTGCGATTTCCAAGTCGTCCGGGCAACACTTTCGCACGAAATGATGTTCGATCACCAAAAACTGAGGCAAAATTGCGATTTCAAGGGGTCCCGCGCAACTCTTTCGCACGAAATGAGGTTCGATCGTCAAAAACTGAGGTAAAATTGCCATTCCAACTTGTCCGGCGCAACCCTTTCGCGCGAAATGAGGTTCGATCGCCAAAAACTGCGGTAAAAATTGCGATTTGCAAGTCGTCCCGCGCACCTTTTCGCACGAAATGAGGTTCGATCGTCAAAAACTGAGGTAAAATTGCGATTTCTGGGTTCCCGTCGCAACCCTTTCGCGCGAAATGAGGTTCGACCGGCAAAAATTGAGGTAAAATTGCAATTTCAACTTGTCCCGCGCGACTCTTTCGCACGAAACGAGGTTCGATCGCCAAAAACGGAGGTAAAATTGCGCTTTCTATGTTATCCGGCGAAGTATGGAAAAGCTGTATGTAAATGCATCTGTGTGTAAAAACGTCTGTGTGTAAAAGGGTCTGTGTGTAAAAGCGTCTTTCTGTAAAAGCGTCTGTGTGTAAAAGCGTCTGCGTGTAAAAGCCTCTGTGTGTCAAAGCGTCAAAGCATGTCAAAGCCTCTGTGTGTCAAAGCGTCTGCGTGTAAAAGCCTCTGTGTGTAAAAGTTTCTGTGTTTAAAAGTTTCTGTGTGTAAAAGCCTCTGTGTGTAAAAGCGTCTGTGTGTAAAAGCTTCTGTGTGTAAAAGCGTGCTGTCGGTAAAAGGCTCTGTGTGTAAAAGCGTCTGTGTGTAAAAGCGTCTGCGTGTAAAAGCGTCTGGGTGTAAAAGAGTCTGTGTGTGAAACCATCTGTGTTCAAAAGTGTCTGTGCGTAAAAGCGTCTGTGTGTAAAAGCTTCTGTGTGTAACAGCGTCTGTGTGTAAAACTGTCTGTGTGTAAAAGCGGCTGTGTGTAAAAGCGTTTGTGTGTCAAACTGTCCGTGTGTAAAAGCGATGGTGTAAAAGCGTCTGTGGTGTAAAAGCGTTTGTGTGTACGAGCGTCTGTGTGTAAAAGCGTCTGCGTGTAAAAGCGTCTGGGTGTAAAAGAGTCTGTGTGTGAAACCATCTGTGTTCAAAAGTGTCTGTGTGTAATAGCGTCTGCGTGTAAAAGCGTCTGCGTGTAAAAGAGTCTGTGGGTGAAACCATCTGTGTTCAAAAGTGTCTGCGGTGTAAAAGCGTCTGTGTGTGCGAGCGTCTGTGTGTAAAAGCGTCTGTGTGTAAAAGCGTCTGCGTGTGGAAGCGTCTGTGTGTAAAAGCGTCTGCATGTAAAAGAGTCTGTGTGTGCGTAAATAAGTCTGTGTGTCGGAGCGTGCTGCATCTGTCGGGGACTCAGGTTCAACGTGTGTTTTTTTTTGCGTCGAGTTGTTTCAGATATGCATAGGCACTATCCGTGTTGAAGCTGCTGATGACATCACAGAAACTGCTGACTTCATGGAAGTTGTCGATGTTTGTCAATTTTCAAGGCATGGAAGACATTTTGGCCTGGCTCCAGAGACGCCACTGGCTCAGAAACGTTTGTGCTGAATACACCGTGAAAACACTATCAAAATATCAAATATCAAAGAAACTGCTGACTGCATAGAAGCTGTTGATGTATGTGAATTTTGAAGGCATACGCCACTCTGTGGCTGTGGCTCCAAAGACGTCAAAGGCTCAGAAACGTTTGTGCGCCTGTTGGCTTCTGGAAAAACGGTGTACAGTTGGCTCATGGATCGTAGCTGTGGAAGCATGAACAGTTGCATTTGTTGAAGGCATCAAGAGCTATTTGTCTTGATCCCGGCTCAAGCTCTTCGATAATAAGTTCTATCATTGTTTTAGCTCAAGCTGCAGTTGTATTTTCAATTTCCGTTGATCGTGCAACTACATTGTCACACGTGCTCGAACGGCCCGTCTGAACCGGAACTGTCTGAGAGGCGGGTACCGTTCAGGCACGTGTGGCTGCCTTGTTTTTCACTGACACTGGATTTCTTTCACGTGAATCATTTGTATCAACATGTTATTAGTCTGTCATTACTTGAAGCTGCAACACGTCATTCGACGACCCGACATGTTACTCGCTGTGGTAGCGGCGCCTCCAAAGATGTGTTTATGCTTGACAACTACAATTTTGTAGTTAAGATGATGCCAGATGAGAAAACCCAAGGATGAGTGGAGAGCAGAACAGCAAAGATTTGATCGGTACAAACATGTCGTGGAGAAAGAAATGATGTACTGTTACGGGCAAATCTTCTTGGAGAAAACCAGTACGGGAGATGGTGACTGTTTTGAAGGAAATTCTGCAATGGTAAAAGGTGACGCATCTATCCTGCTTGCAGAGAAGTTGATCCTCACCGGCAAATCGAAACTGACATCATTTTTCGTGACAATGCAATGCACGCCTCAGGCATGGGAATCATATGTTCAGATGCAGGTCGAGACTTTGCGTCTTCTGTTCCGGTTCGTGCATCATGATGTGGTACCTTGGGATGCCAAGATTGATCAAGTCGGCCTGACAGAAGCAAGGGAGCCGCATTCAGCTCCAGTCTGGGTATTTTGCGATCTGGACGGACTGCGAGACAACACAGAGTATCCAAATGTTGGAGGCTCTTTCAAAAATATTTTGCAGAACATGGTCAACCAAGATCTCTGCCTGATGCAGCCTCACCAAAACGATGCGATCGCCTATGGCTGGGAAGGCTCCTTATGAAAAAGTGCAAACTTTGATACGGGAAGCTTTGGTGACTCACGAAATGGGCACTGAACGCTGGACGTGTCTTGGTAGCACTTGGTATTGTATAATATGGTTATACAGTTCATCTTCGCCTGTTGACAGTCAGTTACTTCTCATATCATATCATCTTATATCATCTTCACATCTTTACATCTGCACCTCGCATGTTTACTTAGCATTCTGATGGTATATCAACCACCTAAAGTCTTAGCAACTCGCGCGGAGGTTTCCATCTCCGAGTCCGCCTTATTTAAAAAGCCTGGAAACGCAGATGCTGGCAGTGAAGCCTGAGACGGGAGACAAGGAGGCGAACTTCCCATATCCTTTCACCCAAAATTTGTTGCCGAGGACATCTGCTTCCGAAGTGCATCGTGCAGCAGCTTCTTCGCATACTGTCACTGCGCCAATGGCACCTCCTCCTGCAGCATCCCCAGATGCAAGCATGAAATCAGCAAGTGAGATACCCATGGGATCGGAGTATCATTCGACGGGACAGATGACCGATGCCCCACCAGCACCTCGAGAAATCAATCAATGGGGCACGACAATTTGTCCGCGGCTCTTAGAAGTCTCAAGTTTGTTGGTTTGCAAACTGACACGACACGATCTCTCTTCGGGCGTGGAAGTGCTGGTGAAATGCAGTCCTAAAGACGATGCTTCTGATCAATGGTATTTGTCTATCCTGGCTGCACCAAAGAAGTTGTTGATGTTGCGAGGAGAAGAGACTATTGGCATCTGCAAAGACATGGTTCAAACTTGGTGGCAGCATCGCAGAATTGTGCATTTGAACATTTTGAGATTGCAGAATTTGAACATTTTGAGGTTACAGAATGTCTGCATCCGAGTGAACACATTGCCACGATTTTTTGGGACAGAATCGCACAAGACTCATGGAGTGAAGTTTGTCGTGAAGCTGTAGGAGCTATCTTGTCTGCCTTGCATTTGGGTCAGTGGCAAGACTCCATGATGAAGCAGAGTCTGCAGGACTTGCAGACGCAGTTTCGGGATGTTTCGGGTGGATCAGGGGCAGCCTTGCTTTTTTTCACGACCAAAAAGGGGAGATCGTGATCAGGTGGCGACCTACGAGCAGCGTGAAATCTCTCAGGAAATGCCATATGAAAGTACAGGAGTGAAGAAATCAAGAAGAGCACGTCGAAACACACCAGTACCTGATGCCAATCGGAAGCCTCGTGTTTTTCGAGTTGTGCAAGATTTGATGCGACTGGTGCACAACATGCTACCACTTCAACGCATCCGCAAGATCGAAGAGCAGCGGACTGAGAACAAGTGTTGGGAGCACTCCACTCAAGGTGCCTTTAACTTTGCTGCTCCAGATCGTGTGGCCCAATTGCTCCGGCACGTTGATGCTCAATGGTTTCACCCAGGTGAAGATGGCCATCATTGCAAATATAGCTTGAAAGCAGACAAGATCACAGATGCAATTGAAGCTTTGAAGATATGGCTGCAACCCAGAGCTGGAAAGAACGAAACGCAGGATGAAAAGCTTGAAATACGCAAATAAAACGCATATTCTCGACATATCCAGAAATTGCGGCTACCAGTTGTTTTCTTTATGTTTCTGCTTGCGTTTCTTTTACGTAAGGGATAAAATAAGGTCTTATTTGCCCAAAATAAAGGCTTATTTTTCTCCCGACATAGAAAAAACATAAACCATACACATGTACAAACACAAACGTTACAAAATGTGTTTGCGTTCTCGTTTGCGTTTTGTTTGTTTTCTTTACGCGCGGTCCAAAATAAGGCCATATTTGGTGTGATTTGCACAAAATAAGGTCTTTTTTTTCCCCCGACATTAAAAACACATGAATTCGCAAACGTATACATGAGTAAAGCATAAACACAACGCAATCCAGTCCCAAAATACATTAATGTGTCACATGTTTTTCGCATATGTTTCACATATGTTTCACATACGGCTCACATATGTTTTCACTTGCGCTGCACATACGCTTCACATACGCATCACATATGTAAATGTGTATGTTTCATATGAGTTTTACATATGTTTTGCATGCGCGGCCACTTAGGATATGTATACGTACCCCCGCGTCAGCTCCTATAGACGGAAGCCCTGGAGGCTTTTGAGATTCAGCTAACGTATAAGTTCACCTTGAAGTCACCTCGAGCTCCGCTTGGTCTTGAGGTCACCTTGAGGCCATCTTGGGATCACATTGCGAGGTCAGCTTGACGGAGGTCAGCTTGAGGTCGCTTTGGGGTTACTTTGCTGTCAACTTTAGCTCAATTTGAGGTAAGTCAGCTTGACGTCAGCTTGATGCGTTTTTCTGTAGTGACTGGTAGTGCCCAAGGAAGGGCACAGAAAGGAGAGGAAAGGCGCGATGACTAGAGAAGCTTTTCCGCTCCAGTGAGAGTCATTACAGCTGCAACCATTGCAGTGACAATCATGGCCGTGACATTCATTGCCATGACATTCGTTGCAGAGGTCCCAATTGCGGCGAGAAACGATGCAGTGACACTCATTGCGGTGAGCGCCTTTGGTTGCAAACAGTCATTGCCATGACATTCGTTTCAGTTCATTGTATTACAGTGGCAGACAATGTAGTTAGAGCGATTCTGTTGACTGTCACAGGAGTAACGTTTATTGCAGTCACGTTTATTGCAGTGACATTCATTGCAGTGACTAAAACTGCAGCGGTAATTATTGCTGTGATTTGAAATTCATTCGCTGATGTGATAGTAGCTGCAGCGAAAGTCATTGCAGTCGCAGTCATGGCAGCGACATTACCTGTAGTGAGTGACGTTTCTGTGACAGTCATGGCAATGTGAAGGACATTTCAGTAGTGACAAGAATCGCAGCGGCAATTTTTGCCGTGACATTTATTGGCCCCGCAGCCTTTTTCCAAGCAGCAGTTGCGTGTGCGTGTGTGCCCCCGCAGCCTTTGTACCGATGGCATCCGTCCTTCAGGCGCCCCCCAAGCAGCCACACATGGAAACATGTTTTTTCCCGAGAGCGTTTGAGCGCAGGGTTCTTCCAATAGTGGGGGTCTGTAAAACATCTTCTCATCTTCACATCTTCTCATCCTCACATCTTCTCATCCTCACATCCTCACATCTCCACATCTTCTCATCCTCACATCCTCACATTTTCACATCTTCTCATCTTCACATCTTCTCATCCTCACATCTTCTCATCTTCACATCTTCTCACCTTCACATCCTCACATCTTCACATCTTCTCATCCTCACATCTTCTCATCCTCACATCCTCACATCTTCACACCTTCTCATCTTCACACCTTCTCATCTTCGCATCCTTAAATCTTCACATCTTCTCATCTTCACATACTCACATCTTCACATCTTCTAATCCCCACATACTCACATCTTCACGTCTTCTCATCTTCACATCTTCTCATCTTTACATCTGCTCATCTTCGCGTCTGCCCATTTTCACATCTGCTCATCTTGACATCCTCACATCTTCACATCTTCTCATCTTCACATCTTCACATTCTCTCTTGCCCTCTTGCTCTCTTGCCCTCTTGCTCTCTCCTTCTTTTCTATTTCTCTCTTGAAGGCGCGGGGCAGCGCCAGCGAGACGGCACGAAACGCAACCGTTTCGCACGAAATAGGGTCCGATCGCCCAAAAACTGCGGTAAAATTGCGATTTGCGAGGCGTCCCGCGAGCCCTTTCGCACGAAATGACGTTCGATCGTCAAAAACTGCAATTGCGATTTCTCTTGTCCAATCGCAACCTTTTCGCACGAAATGAAGTTCGATCGTCAAAAACTGGGGTAAAATTGCAATTTCTCTTGTCCAATCGCAACCTTTTCGCGCGAAATGAAGTTCGATCGCCAAAATCTGTGGTAAAATTGCGCTTTCCAAGTTGTCCGGCGGAGTGTGTAAAAGCTTCTGTGTGTAAAAGTTTCTGTGTGTAAAAGCGTCTGTGTGTAAAAGTATCTGTGTGTAAAAGCGTCTGTGTGTAAAAGTGTTTGCGTGCAAAAGCCTCTGTGTGTGAAAGCTTCTATGTGTAAAAGCGTCTGTAAGTAAAAGTGTTTGCGAAAAGCTTCCGTGTGTAAAAGTGTCTGTGTGTAAAAGCTTCCGCGTGTAGAAGCATCTGTGTGTAAAAGCGTCTGTGTGTAAAAAGCGTCTGTGTGTAAAAGCCTATGTGTGTAAAAGTGTCTGTGCTTAAAAGCTTCTGTGTGTAAAACCTTCTGTGTGTAAAAGCATCTGTGTGTAAAAGTGTTTGCGTACAAAAGCGTCTGTGTGTAGAAGCGTCTGTGTGTAAAAGCGTCCGTGTGTAAAAGTCTTTGTGTGTGAAGAAACTGTATACAAGATGCAATGCAAACTATTGTCTTATGTTTGTGCTATATTGTCTTGGTACTACTCTTCTCATCTGCCTATACTCCATCTTGCAATATATTGTCTTCTAATACAATGTCTCCATACTAACAACAGAAGACCCTTGCTCGTCTAGTTTTTTTTCAGTGTTTGCAGATGTTTGTGGCTATTTTCATGCAAACCATATGGTTCTCCAACCTCACGTGTGCTCAGAGCTCAGCGTAGGCAAAAATTGTCCGACAAAAACTTTGGCCAAGCAGTTGATCTGTGGGATTCACCCAATGCCACGAACATCCATAAACCTTCCTCGAGGTCTGTGACATTGGGGATACCTCTAGAAATGGGATTTTGTTTATTGTGACCCTAGTAGTGGTTGGTTAATGGGATGGTTTATACAGGGTTTATGTGTTTTTGAGATGTTTTGGGCAAGAGGAAGCCAAGATTGCGGCAGGGCGCCCCAGTCGCAGTGCCAAGACCTTTTATATAGAGGTTAGACATTTTCCGGGTGGTTCTTCGCGCCCACTCACCATTTTCACCATGGCACTGCTTTCTCTGGCGGTTTCGGCGCCAGATGCGGAAGTGGGAGTCAAAAGATCAAGATGAAGTTGAGGAGTCCTTCTTGAAAAACAGCTGCATAGAGGTTGTCACCCACGACCGTTGGCACATGTATCATGATGTATCCACTGTATCAGCGGCGCTATCAGCGGCGCGCAGCAACGGCACGCAGGAAACTCGACTGCAGGCTGCCTTGATGACAGCTCGGCTGCTGAGACATGCCAAGCCCATAGACAAGCCCGACATGGAACCATTGAAGCTGTCCGGGCCACAGGCTTCAGAGATTCCATGGCCCGAATTGTTGGAACGTTGCAAAAAGACAAGGAAATCATGATATTGTGTGCTGTGGACAGGGTTGGACAGCTGACCAATGTTGACCAAATTCAGAGATGGAACAAGTGAAGAAACGTGCAGACAGTTGAGCATGTTGTGTACTTCCCTGGGACAGCGCCGGCGTCCGACCCAGCTTTGGAATTTGGATTGCGTGGTGGCTGCTTGAACTGTCTGAGGACTACCTCATTCTGGGACCTGTCGCTTGGATATGTTGCAGTTTGATTGTGTCTGGATTCCAATTTCTGCCAATTCTTACCTTGCCATATTTGCGCTCCTGGGTGAAGGAAAGAGGAGAAAGAGGGCTGGGAGTTGCGATCAAGCAAAAGTCTGGACTCGGGGAAAGTCCGTTGGAATCATTGGCATTTTCGAGGAGGTGAGGAGGGATTTCAGTGTGACAGGAATTGTTGCAGGAGGAGGGCAGTAATTTGCATGCATATTCTTGCTATTTTTTGCCTTCCCTTTTTTTAACCAGGTGCTTAAAAATGATCGTAAGAGCTATGGATTATCAATGATTATCAACTGGCATTTGCAGGGACGCACTACATCTTCACGGACCTTTCTTATTCAGAGCTAATGACAGATTGCCAAGAGCTGAGCAGTTCAGAATCGGGGTTGAGCTTCAGCATGTTTCAGCCCCAGCAGAGTTTTGGAGTGAGGTCTTGCACCAAGTGGTAGCATCTTCTTGGGTGGTGGTGAAGGTAGCAAGGAGGTCGGCAGCAGAAAAAACATGCTCCCCAAGAAATCCATGGTTTGTCACGGCCCCACATCAGGCACTCATGAGGATGCTGGTCAATGGTGAACCTGCCCTTTACTCGGAGATTACAAATGCATGCAAATGCGCAGAGAATTAGAGGGGCACCGCGGTTAACTGGATCCTGAATGCATTCCAAGTGGCCTTGGCTTCAATGCCTTGAGGTAGTTTGCCTGGACAACACAGGTCGTGTGACGCAAGACTTTGTCACCAGCTGAGTGACTGTGGACCATGCCTCAAAGAGCAACTTCAAAGGATTCCTTCGAGCCAAAGAAAGACGGCGACTGATGGCCACTAGAAAACTAGGAGACTGTGTCGCACATGTAGAAACACATGACTGACAGAGACTCTGCCGTGGCGCGTTCACCCGAGGTGAGATGACGCTTGTCTGACATTGTGTTTGTTTGGGCCAGCCATCTCTCTGCGCACCTGAGTCTTGTCCCAGTCTTCACTACACCACTACATCACCGTATTGTTGTTGTTTGTCCTTTGAATTGAAGTTTTAGCCCAGCTGTCTCAAGCTGCTTGCAGCACCGCACCACGGGATTGCAAACCTGTTCAACGGCAGAGAATTCGGACATTTTCAGTTCTCACTACACTTTTCATCACTTTTAAATTCTCATCATGGTTCTTGATTCCTTAAGCGGATGGGAAAGTCGTCAAGTCTCAATTTTTGCAGCTGGCTGAGGTCACAAGTTTCTATGCGATAGCTTGTTCCGGGAAGTGGATGAGAAGCTTGACTCGATGGGTGCCAACGCAGTGGTGGAGGCGATTAGTTTTCAAGGCTTTGATTATAATATATACAATTATATACAATTGAGCTTGTCTGAAAATTGAATATTCCCACCAAATGGCCATTTTAATGGGGACAATGGTGATATATCATAGGATTTGGGGGTGTTTCCCTGCGGAACAACCCATTTGGCAATTTGGTTTTTATGTGGGGTCCAATAGCGGCTGTTGGAGCAGTGCTAGTGGTGTCCAGCAAGGATCGTTTTTTTTAACGTTGGACAAGGGTTCAAAATGAATATCCTGCTGCGCAGCCTCTGGCGTAATTTTGAAATGCTCATTTCATAGACTTAATGTGGTAAATCCATGTAAATCCAGTAGTAAACCATCCCTGATAGAGGCTTTTTCTCTAGGGTATACCCCTATGACCGGGATGATGTAAAATTATCCCAGTCATGCTTGGTTATTTTGTTTTTGAGCGTATCTTCTCGAAGTGAGCTCATGCAACTGCGCTATTTCCCGAGATTCTCGACATATATCCAGACTAGCTTTGACACTGAAAGTCTGAGTGAAAACGTAAACTATCGCCTATCAGGACAGATGCACCTTTTTTGGTTCAAGTGACGAGTGAGAGGCAAAAACAATCATTTGCGCGCTTGCTGAAGTTTGGCTCTTCCACTGCGTGCTAGCCAAGACAGATCACAGAGAGAGAGAGAGAGAGAGTCATTGAGAGGGAAGGCGCCGGCGGAAGATCAATTTCGCGTAGGGGGCTCCAAAACGGGTGATCTGCACCGCGCATTTGCTGCTGAGGAATGACAAGAAGCCTCAGGACCCTCGGCAGATCTTGGAAGGTTACAGAGAGACAACCAGCATTGACGAGCTCATGCAATGCTTGTGCACAGTGTCTGCATGGTCTCATGCACAGAATCTGGTTTGATTTAAGGACGAAAAAGCAAAGATGAGGCAAGTTGGGAGTAGTTTGTGAAGCCCTTTGTGTCTTCATAGATACAAGCTATTGACTATTGACTTCTTTCCACTGGGGCTTCTTCATCTTGTTAGGTTTAGAAAGGAAAGATCAAAAGGAACGCCACTTGGAGCTGCAATAGGCCTGCTCTGTGTCTTTTCGATGGTTGGAAAATCGATAAGCTTCGTCCATGCTCTGTGCCACTAAGGCATGAGTTGGGATATGCAGGTGAAAATCTCGTGAGAAAGGCCATGGATCTTGAATCAACTTGAAGTTTCCTCAAATGGGGGTATGCCCAAATCCTCCAAAGTTAGACCATTTTAGTATATTTTAGTATTGAAATCCATGGTGACTTGAGGATCCTGATCCTGATGTGAAGAAACCCCTATTTTTGGGTGTTTCGAGGTGTGGCTCACGGGATTTGGCAGGTGAACACCGACTTCCTGAAAGGTGACATTAAAAGAAAGACAGTGCTGCTTGCCAGTTGATGCAGCAGAAGTACAAGTTCTACAGAGCACAGATGAAGGGATTTCTAAATGGCGGCATAGATTTCAATACTCAAATGGTCTAATTCGGATGATTTGGGGATACCCCCATTTCAGGAAAAAAAACAGATAGTGAGCACCGCTGAAGCTCACCAAAGTGAAAGCCGCTGAAGTTCACCTGGGAACATGTTTGCAAAAGATCGCGCAACATTATGCTGTTCCAGTTAGTTCCAGCAAAGATTTCCTGTCGATGATTTGATCGGATAGTTCTTAGAACGACGTCGGGCTTGGTGGTGGGTGGCCCTCCAGCAACCATGTCGCGGTGGATTCTTCAACCAGTTGGCAGTTGTGTGTGAGCTCTTTTCTTGTTCGAAGTAACACATGTTTTTTTCAGCAGCTATCAACACAGCAGTTGATTAAAAATTCTATTTACCAAAAATATGGATACTGTATCTATGGATAATCGAAGTAAGTTTAGAAGTCAAACTTCCGACAATATGGACAGATGAAAAGCAGAGCAGGGAAGAGGCAGAGAGAAGAGAAAGATTAGACGAAAGAAGAGTAGAAGAGAAAGAGTAAGAAGAAAGAAGATGCAGATGCGCGAAGAGGTAGGAAAGTCGCGAAACACTGTGTTTTTCGAATGATTTGGGGCTCCGGAGGGTCGAAAAGTAGGCTCGCTAAAGCGGCGGGTGCGGAGCCAGCTGGTCAGAGGAGAAATGAAAAATTGCACGCCGTTGTGGCGCGAAGCACATTTCCAAGTCAAAATGCACAAAA